TGTTTCTCATTCTCTTGATGGAATGATCATGCTTTACGGTTTAAAAATGTAATCAAAATTTCTATCCTGCAGTTGGATGAGCATTTTTCCCGCCCTATGAAAGAATTTGTTTCCTTATGTTTAAAGAAAGTACCTGCTGAGGTAAGCAATTATGCTTTTACATATCCCTCTATTTGTTTTGGGTTATCTAGTTTTTCCCTGAACTCTGTCAGCTGCCAATTAAAGTGCAACGTTACTGTTGGTGTATTGACTTCTAAAACTATTTTGATGCGTACAACTTGGGTGATCCTAGGTTTATTGGCTTAATTATTTCTGAGTGCTGTAAAATGCATTATGCATTTCTTTAATCTGTTCAATTTCAGAGGCGTAGTGCTAAGGAACTTCTCAAGCATCATTTTATCAAGAATGCTAGGAAGAGTCAGAAGCTTCTGGAGAGAATAAGGTACCATCTCGTACTAAGTGTCCCATAATTTACATAAGATAGGAATCTGTGTCTGACACAGTTTTGAGGTGTCAAAGCACCTTGGAACACACTAAATTATGCTTATGGTGTTAGTTATGTTTCTGAAATGTCATGACAAGAGGATTCTAAGCTCAGAGTATCATTCTTACACTGGTTATTATAGTTAAGATGCTTGTATTTTGTGTTCCTAATAGAGAGCGCCCTAAATACCAATTAAAGGAAGATGCAGAAATCCCAATAAATGGCCCCAAAGCTATAGGAGAGTCAACTGATGCTGTGAAGGTGACAAGAGATATAAGAGGTGAAGAAACTGTTCGAGCTAGGTGGGTTGATAGTGTTAATTAGCAGTACTTTATTGATTTTGATGGGATTCTCAGACTTGTTCTGATCAGCAGTTATCGGGGGAAAACATTTAAAAATTCTGGATGGGACTTCAGCATTGGTGGACCACAGAGCACAGGTACTGTCCGAAGTGCTGTAAAACCTCCTCAAGTTAGAGAAAGGAAACTAGAAGTTGCATATAATCAAGCTATACCAAGACCTCCAGAGAGTGGTAATGCGCTTAATGAATTCCCAGAAGTTTCCTTTGGAAAAGACAATGGAGAGTCATATTATGATGAACATCAGGATAATAACCATGATGTAAGTCTCTCTCTCTCTCTCTCTCACACACACACACACACACACACACACACTGCATGCACACAAAACTTGAAGCAATGGCAAACTTTTACCTGCATTGTGCCTTTTGGCATCATAAGTTCTTCCCTTTTGTCCTACGCCCTTAGTAAAATGCTATGTTTCATGGGATGATCTAGGGGCCTCAAAGACTGCTGTTGTTCTGAAATTGGCAAAGTGGAGTTAAACATCTATTAAGTTGACATGTAATGTAGTAATATGATTAAACTTTTTGAGAATTGTCCTGTCTGCTGCTAATGGGGCTAGAAATTAAGTTCACTTAGCTGGATCACCCACCATTTCTGTTAAACTAGAGCCCACCATTTCTGTTAAACTAGAGCCAGTTTCATATAATCTGTTGTTTGTATGAGTCATACACTTCAATATATGATCCTTTTATGGTAAGATCTTGTGACGCTTTGCTGCTTTATTCCTAGGATGAAACGTCTGTCAGTGGGTCAGGAACTGTTGTCATAAGATCTCCTAGAGGATCTCGATCATCTGCATTGATTCGTGACCCAAGCTCTCTTGTAAGCTTCCTTCACTTCCTTCACAGCAGTCTTCACAAAAATATTAAGTAGATAAAGTCTCTGTTGCCTTTCGTGTCCCAGCCTTTGATTTTATTAGATTTCAATGTGCTGTGTAGTCTAGCGGCGCATATGCTTCTTTTGAAGATGCTTCTACCAGTGGAACTGTTGTTTTCCGTGGCCCACATGATGACTCCGATTCTCCTCGAACTCCAAGATCCAGGCTTGGAATTCAAGAGAAAACTTCAAGTGCATCAGTTGAAGATAGTGCAGCAAATCTTGCAGAGGTTGTTTTTGTTTTTCATCTTTCTTGATCAGTTTTATTATGCTCGAAAACCTTTTAGATTTTTCTTGTTTAGTTGTGAATTACAATCAAATGGGCTATAGAGTGTATGTTCCATTGATTAATAAAAGACATTGATATGTTTTATGATATTTGTATAACTTCCACTTTTAATCTGATTACCTTTGCTATTATATATCTCTAACAAACGCTTGTTGGATGGTTTCTTGTTTTACTTATTGTTTTGAATTCTGTCTACAATCAAATACATAAATCATTGTGTAGCTGGAGTTTTCCTAAAACCTTCTGTTGTATGATGTATTTATTATTGGATACTCAAATTCCTCCTGTAGGAATCTTGAGTTTACCATGTAACTTGAATTTGTTATTAGCTTTTCTAGATACAGAGTGCATGATCATGCTTCTGTTGAAAAGCTCATCATTTAATATGTCGATTCAGGCGAAGGCTGCAATTCAAGCTGGGTTGAGGAAAGGAAATGCTAGGGACAGGTCTGCACTGAGCAAGATCAATAGTCCTGGGCAGGAAAACAGAAGAAGAGATCAAGTGAGTAACATTTCTGATTCTTCCAGGTAAGCCTGATAAAGAACTAACTTTCAATATCTTCAATGCAGAGCTTTATATAGCTTTGATTATTATTTGGTTGTGTTAATATCTCTGAGTATTTTTATTCTATTCCAGAAGTTCTCGTGGATATTTTGATGCACAAAGTGTATTTCCAAGATCACGCCAACCAAGCGATGAGGAAAATGCAAATATAGCATCATCATCTATACCACTATCCATGTTGCTTATACCTTCCCTAAAAGAGGTGCGCACCACTTGATGTTTAGTTAAGTTTTCCCTTGCCAATGCATGTGATAGAGGTAACTTTGAAATTTTCTTCCAATTTAAACGATCTTCAACCCAGAGGCTGTATCAAGATGCTTGTAATGATACAGATTTCTCTATATCATGTATGCAATACTTAGAACTTAATCTTGGTGCTGACTCTCATTCATCCAGATCAAAATAGCTTTATCATAATGAATGATTCCATACCAACTTTAGTGAGTAAGTAATTAATAAAAATTATTTTGTAAAGATAGAAGATGGAAAAATCCAGAACTAAGAGATGGGATATTGAAAATGGTTTTGACTAGTATAACATCGATCTATGCTTGTTTCGAGTTAGAGGAGCAACTTAATATGAGTAAAATTGTGAGGAAGTCTGAAAGAGGTGATGATTAAATTAGTACATTAAGTCCTTTCCTGTGCTCTTGATGGAGCGGACCTGATCAAAAGTTTGCATGTTTGCAAGTCTTTAATTCATGTTAAGAGCTTGTTTGTGTGAATTGATACGTTTACTCAAAGCCAGCATCTGGACATGGTTGTACTATGGAGCTGTTTACTGTGACACTTCCATTTCCTGTGTTTACCATATCCGCTGCCAACATTTACCATGTCTGCATTAGATTTGTTTACATGTTAATATTTTGCCAATGCACACAATGTAGGTCATTGCTGATGATTCAGAAGGGTCAGTTCTGCGTGCAGTAACAAATTCTCTCATAAATATGGAGCGTACAAAGCCTGGATCTTGTGAAGTTCTTGTTCGCAGGTTGCTTGAGCGATTGGCAAGGTTAGAAATATATACAGAAAGAAAATAATTTAATTTGTGTCACATAGTATCTTCCCTTTTGTACGTAATTGGTCTTGGTCTTTTAACATGATGAAACTCAAGCGGAGGTAAAATTTTGCAGCTCTAAGGAATCTTCAATGAAAGATATGCAGGAGTTAGCAGCTAGCATGTTCAATAAGGGCAAGACGATTCCTGAAGATACGCAAAACACAAACACGGAAACTGACAGTAGGAAAAAGCAGCAGCATAAAGAACTTCATTCAAATTCCAACTTGAGCCCGCTTGCGAGATTTCTACTTTCTAGGTCTGTTGAAATATTATATTACTCCCTTAGCAAATGATTTTTATTTTAGAGGATGAAGTCCCATTTTTACAATGCACCAAACTGTTATGAAATCTTCTCGTGTAATGCAGATGGCAAAGCCAAACATCTCGAGATCCCAACCCAACTTGAAGGAAAGTTTGAGATTGATTATCTCTGTTTTTTTAGTGTGTTTTTCTTTCATGCATTTGTTTTGATGTACATAACATTGTAAGAAGTTGCGCATTTATCATCCATTATGATGCTTTTTACAATTTTGTTTTTGAGGTGGCAGCATTGATGTATAATTAGGTTTTGCTATTATCACATTATAAGATGTAATCAGTAACATTAATCATTCATCAAAAATAATCTCTTTCGTGTAATCTTGTGAGTGAGTTTGCTTACAGTTCATAGTTTTCCTCTGATAATTTTCTTGAATGAATGGATCGGAGACCTCAGCTACCATCGGTACCTTTTCAATTATCTCGAGTTAATGGGCAACCTTCCATGTTCTAATGAATGAAGAAAGCAAGTTTGATGTGGTTATCAATATTCTCCAGTTGAAATTCAAGAATCAGTTGGTCCAGATATGGCTGCCATTGGCGCAATACTTCCACTTCAGCCACTTAGATTCTTGAAACATTTTGAGTAAAAAAGATATGCATTGATGTATGGTTACCAAGTTCTTAAAAGCATGGAAAATTCTAAAACACATTTTTCTAAGAGTCCTTGCATTTCTCTTGGCTTACTGAGTGATGGTGGGAAGACAACTCAACAGCCTCATTTCATTTCGCGTTGGTTCAATGCGATATAATTCACTGGAGCGAGCAAACCATGAATAAAGTTTCCTGTGCATTACCACTTTTCAATATATAAAGCAATACCAAGCAACATGAAAGGCTGTCTAGACACTAGACCACTGCATTACACTAAATGGTGGTTTAAAACTGAACAGCAGTAATTCAATAATACTAGAGCACTAAGCCACGGGCAACATTCGATTATAGCAAGTTTTCCACAGCACGCACAGAAAGGGGTTTGACTCTAACTTATCAGGCTGGATGAAAGGAGATTATTTTTAAACAACAAAACTAACAAAGCATTGCACAAAATTCTTTTATTTGAAACTATAGATAGCAAGCATCCATAATGGTTTAGTTACAAATTTGGTGAACAGTATGTTTACATGTTCATATTCACCTCTTGAAATTCTATTCGAGTTCTGCACGTAGCGAATTTTAGGACTTTGATTGCCAAGAATCCTTTAACTGCAATTTCAGAATGAATTTGCCAATATCTGGACAGGAAGGGGGTGCATGAGCTTTCTTGATGGAATATACAAAGTTAAACCAGCAAAACTTCCACACAGGTTAGAAGAGTCATCCGCATATGATTGATAGAATGCAAAACAAGATCCTTTATCACATGTTTATTGTGTAATAATGCATTTTCTATTTTTCATTTTACATGTGCTGAGCAAGACCAGTCACTTAAGCATCATCCAGCATATAAGCCATTATCCTCTACGATGTTGCTTTCCTTCCTCATTGAAGAAAAGTTGTTGATCTCTTGCTGCAAAATAAAATCTCAAACTGAGGTTGGCCATCCTTTTGTTCAGTTCAAGGCAAATTTCTATTTCCATCTACCTCGAGAAGGTTGCTTTACTGGAGTAAGCTTCCGAAACGCAGCGTGTAAAATCATAACTACAGGGCACATACAATTATAAGCTGATACAAAATAGACAAACATCAATAAAAGAAAAAAGAATATGGAAAACATTTACCTATATAACTAACGCCAAGGGCACAACATAGAGCCATTTGAACATTCAACCATATCAAAATAATTGCAGTAGCTGCAAAAGATGAGATAAGGTTAATGTTATAAAACCAGAAGAAAATAACTTCTATATGCTATCACTCGCCTTTCCTGCAATGTTTATACGCTTACTAGATAGCATTTTACACCTCCAGAGTCGAAAATATTCATCCAAAACATAATATTTTGACTATAATTCCCAGGACAATCTACCTTTTTGCTCAGGCCCCGGCAAGGGTCGTCTTTTGCAGACACAAAACAATGAAACGAGGCATTGAGTCATCAAGTAAGCTCTACATGTAACTTCTACGAGCACAATGAACAATTCTTCTTAAATTCACATAAATTTCTTCTACTTAAGACTGTAGTGATAAAATATGAGAACTCACCACATTGCACTATGCGAATCAAGACCTGTTGAGTGACAGGAAATCTATCCAAACCCCATTTATCACTAAAGAACCTGAAGAAATCCCAAAGTGCCAAACTTGATATCAACCCAACAAGAGCAAGCGGCAACTGATACCTAATAACAACAACAGAAAACAAGTAATTAAAACCATTGTTTTCTTAAGTCATACCTATCTAAAGTTTTTCTTTTCCCACAAATTTCTCGGGAAACAAACAGGAATTACAAAAAAAAAAAAACCAATTTACCTTATTCTAGAAAGGAACCAAAATAATCCTCAAAACCAATAATAAAACTTCAAACATAAATGTAAAGAAGAAAAGGGTTTTAGCTTACAGAGAACAAGCAAAGAAGAGAATCAAAAGTGAGGCATAATTTCGGGCATAACGCTTAACATTCTCAAGAACCCTGAGCCGTGCCTGAGAAACCGATGATGGAAATGAATAGGACCTAAAATCCCCGAAAAACCCTTTAGTCCACGACGGAGTTTCGCCGGAGAAATCGTTGGTGGTGAGCTTGGAGAATGGGTTAAGCGTGAAGAGAGAAAGAAGGGTCCATAATTGAGAAAATAAAAAGACCAAATATCCATAAAGGAAGCCGGTGATTGGGATGGTTATTGTTGAGTCAGTGGTTGTGGAGGCATTAGTGGTGGTGGCAGCAGCAGCGGTCTGGTGGTCGTCGATGACGTCGAGGTAACCTGAGTCGCGGAGCCATGATTCGAAGGTGTGATCAGGGACGCTGAGAGATAATGGGTTAGAGGAAAAGACCATTCTTTTTTGGCCTAATTTTTTCCCCTCTTTTGGGATATATATATATTTTTTTTGCGGGGTTCCTTGACTTATAAATTTGGGATTTTTACATTTTCTAAGAAAGTAAAAATTTGTTTTTTTTAATTAAGAGTTTTTATTTTTATAGGGACCTATTTACCGCCATGAATTCCAAGTAAACGTTCAAAAAAATCCCAAAGGTCTTACCTTTGAAAAAAATGTCATTGACTCATTTCTTCAAACACCTTACGTTAACCTCTCACTCCTCTTCAAAAACATTAACCCAAAAGCCAACTATTAATTCCCACAAAGATATTGCTGTAAGCTTTTTAATTCAATGATTCAAAATTTAGGTTTTTCTCACAGATTGAATGGGAAATTAACCTTTTTTTTTTTTTTTTGGGTTTGTTTAGAATATGTTTTCTGAAGCTCTTACGTACTTTGCTGCAAGTTCAACTACCATGGATGAAGATGACTATGGTGACACTTCTAATGAGGTTACCCTTTTTTTTTTTTTTCTTAAAGATAGGATTTTGATTGTAAAGTGTGGGTTTTTTGGGATTGTTTTTAAGGTTTTGTGCAAGAAGAATGAGTGACCAACTTGTGAATTTACTTCTTAATGTGTTTAAAAATAGGTTTTGAAGGATGTTTTGAATGATTTGGTATTTTTTATGCAGATATGCACTGAGTCCATGTTTCCTGAATTTGAAAATGTATATGTATGCTATTCGCAGTCTGCTGATTCTGTAGGCTTGAAAGAGATATCAAGTTATGAAGTAAAAACAGGTGAGCTATGTGAATGGATAAAGAAAACTCAGGTTAGTTTACTTTTCTCCTTCTTTGTGGTGTAGTACAATTTAGCTTCAAGGAACCTGCTACATAAAATAATTGAGAAAAAAGTTTATTATTAATTAATTTTAATTATTGTAAGGAGAAAAATAGGAAACAGACAGTTGATTTATGTAAAAGTTAGTGTGAGGTAATGACTCTGATAAGGCTCTAAATCAAGGTATTTTTTTAAGGCCAGCTGGCGGTTATCATATTAGTGCAGAAACTAAATTGATCATATTGAGTACTTTACCCTTGTTTGGAATGTATTCAATAATTACTTTAAACTTTGGAGGATTTATTTTTGGATCTTATTTGTTAATTGGTTTATGGATAATTAAAGGTGTTCCCAAATTGGTTTAGATGTTTAGTTCTACTGGTAAACTCTATTTTCATTGATAATATAATTTGATCCTTTGTTTCTATCTGAGACAGGAATCATTTGATCCTGTTGAAGTTACTGAAGCACTTTTGGTTGTTCATGAGTGGAAGACTCCCCCAGTATGGTTTTATCTAATTACCTTCTCTTAAGGTTTTGTTGCAATCTTTATTTGTCATACATAAAGAACTCCCTTCTTTGCCATATTTTCAGAATCTAGTTGGCTTACTTGTGTTGTAATAGGCCTTTAAACCCCTTTTAAGTTAGAAAACATTGCAAATTATCAAAGAATCTATTATAAATCAAAGTTTGTGTATATATGCACACATGTTCATACAAAGTAAAATCTTATTTGCTCTGTACATTGAAGAATATTATTATTTTTTAAAAAGTATATAAAAAACAACCCCTCTCCATGGGAGGTTTCATATAGAATTCTTCCTTGTTTCAACTATGAAGAAAAAAAGAAAGGGTGTGCTGGTGCTGGAGATAATTTGTAGTTTCTTTATTGGATTTCAAAGCTTTTAGATGCTCATGTAAACTGTGATTTGAAAATCATTTTGCCTTTTCTCTTGTAAAAAAATTTAAAATTTCCTAATTAGACTTAGCCTTCTCCAAATTTTGTTGTGAAAAATAACAGTTAAAAACTCTTTTGCAAATTTGGGAATGGGATTTAGATTAACAAAAATATTTCAAGAAGATTTTAATCTCAAAGGCTGTTTTATGCGCATACATCTGGGAGTTTGGTATAGCTTTTCCAAATTCCAAACTGATAATAAGTTTTTCTTGATGAAGAGATCCCTTAAATCTTGTTGAGAAATACAGAGTTCTAACAGATAGAGACATGAATTAAAAAAACACTATAAATAACCATATTAAATATTCTTCCATGCTTTCATTTTCCATTTATAATTTTATATCATTTTTCATGACTTACCTGTATCATCACATCAGACATCTTCATTAGCATTTTATAAGCTGCTCTTTGATAAATTCTTTCATGTCGATACCTTCCTGGCATATCTTTAGCAGGTTTCTGTAGAAATGAAAGTGAAATGGAGTATATACCGAAGTTGCAAAGCAGGCCTGCTAGGAACAAGACATACGGGGAGTAAGAACTATCCGAACTTTCGTTTTGCTCCTTGTAGCTTAGTTTGACTTGGCAGAAAGTTCCAAGCCTTCCTTGACCTTGATACTGTTTATTACACTACAATGACTATAAAAGAGTCTTGTGAATGCAAGATCAGGTGGATTGCCTATGTCTCATTTCAGTTGCACCTGCAAAATGTTCAATAAGACAGGTAAGAAATGATTTTATTTGTGGAATCAAAACAGATACACTTGGAAAATGACAAATTCCAAAAATAAATTTGAGATGTATATTGGAGCTTTACATAGCTGATTGTTTCTTCTTCTTTAATGTTACAATGTCAATGAAACCTTCAACAATGCTACGGATTTGTTCACTCACATTTTCCTTTCTGCTCATTAGTTTTTCAGTGGATGGTGTCTCAACTGCTGAGATTGCATTTGAAAGATCCACTGGGAATGAGAGTAAAGTCTCTTATTCTCATAAAGCTGTCCAATCTGCTCTAACTGAGGTGGACGTATCAAGTGAGAGTGAGACTGAAGTCTCTTACTCTGATTATTGCTCTTCAATCGTCCCTGAGTCAATCTCCAACTCTGAAACTTACAATGAGAGTTTTGGGACATTTGATGGGTATGTGACAGGTTATTACACCGGTGGAAATAGAATTCTGCACCCAAAGATCACCAGAATCTCAAATTCATTGTCATTTTAAACCAGATATGTGTCTAAAACTGATGCAGATGGTGTGTCCAAGATTAAGGGAAGCTTAATATTTTATAGACCATATGATCTGTGAAGTCCATTTTATTTGAAGCTACATGGATTTTGGTCAGAATCTTCTGGGAAGCTTTGCATGGTTGGAATGGGGTCTGCTTACTCGAAAGAAGGTAATCTGGTTACTCCTTCAGCAGTTTTCAAGCTTAGCAATCTCAAGAATTCAAGTGACATCACTACTTTAATTGCTGGAACTTTAGAGAGTCTAAGTTCTAGTGATGAGGTTAACTACTTTGAACCGATTTCCATTATCATGTTTCCTTGATTGAATTATGAGTACACTTTTGATTCCAGAGAGTCTGTGGATGAGTTCTCTGCTGAAAGTGATACTGAACAGAATTTGCCTTTGTGCTTCCAAGTAGAAGTTTTTGCTCAATATTAAGCTTTGTAAATGTATTTAAGTTGCAATACTCGAGTGACTGCAACTATGGAAAGAAGAATTGCCTTCCTTTTGGTTGGCTGATTGGCTATTTGCCTCGTTTTCTGTCTTTTACAAGCATTAGGTGTTCAGAAGTTCAAAAGAGAATTCATGTTTTGGTAGAATTTAGAAATAATAGCCATGTTGGAAACTACCAATCTTTCAATCTTAACACAACATTGATTGGAGAAGGCCGTAAAAAGTAGCTCTGGTATTTATAATACTATTCAAGCTGAGGTATCTTAGAAATTGGATTGTTCTTGCAGTAGTTACTGTTTATGGTACTTAGCATCAAATTTAATGCACATTTGGACGTAGGATTTTGTTGTTTACTTATTCCCCATTTTCTATACAGGACTTCGTGGCTAAATCTCTTGGTTCAATCAACAAGGTTGAACCTTCTAAGCTTTTATGTGAACAAGAAGGCAGCTTCAGTTAGTAGTTCAAGTTTCCAGACCCAAGGTTATCTTTTGAGTTATTCTCCTGGAGGAGCTAGTCTGCCTTTACCTTTGTTATTTTCACAAGGTTCTCAAAGTAAGACGTGTGGAAAAACTAAGAAATAAATCAGTGTGAAAATTGAATGTATATTGAAAAACTGCTTATTAAGAATTATACAAGAATCTTAGGTTTATATACAACTAACTAGGGGTTAAACTAGGAAACTAAATTTTCCTAAAAAACTAATCTTATAATTGAGGGATTGTCTATTCTAATTTTAGGGATACAAATACTTAATTATAGAGATACAAATCTAAATATACAGATTACAAGATTACAACCAGCTGTAAATAAGTGTTTTCCCACAAGATGTTGGCTACTTCGCAACATGGATGGAATAGTCAAAATCTTCCATTTGGTCATTCGTTGCGGGCTTCACTGGCTGGTGGTTCAACTAATGGTAGTAATGTGAGTCACTCTGATGCAATGAAGCTCCCTCATACAGTAAATCCAGCTTATTGGGATCATTTTAATTCTGCTATACAGAAGCAAATTGGTGCTTGTAGTTTGTTGCATTCAAATTTCCAACACCTGTAGATGCATTAAATCACACTGTGGTTGTGGAGCCATCCATGCATTGGTGGCCACCACCTATGAAACCAAAATATAGTTTCAATAAGCATAATATCTATTCAAGTTTTCCTGATCCAGTTGATGGTGCTTATATTACTTCTCAAGAAGTGGCAGACATCAGAAATCAGAGAAATGTAAATGAAGAAGATATCCTCAACAAGCTCCAACTTTTTAAACAGTTTGATACTGTTGAAGATTTTTCAGATCATCACTATGCTTCCAGTGGAGCTTCAACAAAGCAGGTGACTAGCTTTTCAAGATATATTGAAGTTTTCATGTTCTTTGTTGTTATGTTCTTAATTGTTCAACCAATAAACTTTTTCTTAATTCTATTTGTGGCAGCCACTGAAGAATTTGAAAAGAAATTTGCCAGGTGAGTTTAAGCATTATATTCTTCTCCGAAAGAATTTTCATTTGATGACTTGTTTCTTTTATCATCCCTTTTAAAAAAAATTAATACTGCATACATGAATTGTGACTGAAAATGCACATTAGGTTTTGGATGCAATATTAACAGCTGAGATCTTCCGCTGTGCTTGCAACAATTTCCTCGTTTGTTGATGAAATGTATAAATAATTTGTTTCTTTATCTCATTTTTATCTGTTCAACAGATACTTTTTTTTTTGTTAGGGTTTATGAATCAAATAATTATATTTGATTATATAATTGATATATTTTACAAAGATAATTTTTTTTATGAATATTTTATACAACATCATAGTTTATAAATATTTTATAATTTTTTATGCTTTAACAACAAAATAAGTCAAATTATCGTTATAATAAATTAAAAGACTGAATTAAATACAAAATTAAGAATTAATTAATACATCTTATCATATTAAACATGTTTAATTTTATTTAAAAAGATTTATTTATATAAATTAAATAGTATAAAGATATATTTATATATTATATGTTACGAGAAGATTATAATTGAAAAGAAAATATTGTAATGAATGAATTTTTTTTTTTATACTATTTATTTAAACAATGATTGTTATAATTCATTTATTTTTTTTTATTAATTTTAACCATTCTAACATTTTCTTCTTTATAAAAAACTTTCTTTTTTTTTTTTTATTAATATCTATCTAAATATAGCTATTTAATAAATATGGGTTGTATTCTAGGTCCACTCAAGAGTTTTTTGTTATTTTAAGCCCATTAATGTATTTTAGTAATTTTGAGTACTTTGTTAAAATTTTGAAAAAGCGCCAAATTTATCAAAAAAAAAAAAAACTGCCCTTAGTAAAATCAGCAAAGAAATTGTACATATAATATCTTGTGTTCTGGTTGCGTTAAAGAAGTTAAGAAAACAATATGGAAAACATTTTCCAATTACAAATGGAATTGACAATCTACTTTGTTCCCTTTTTCTGATCTTACTCCAGCCGATCTTCCTCTCTTGTTGCGTTCTAACACACTGAAACTTATAGATTCTAATTTGCATGTACAAAATTGTGCAGGGTTTATTTTCTATATAGAGATATGGCCAAAAATAAAGAGTCTGAATGAACAAATTGTATTATCAACTTGATTCATAAGAATCTAGTAACACTGGCTTCTTACATAATTCCCATGGTAATCAATTTTTCTATTTTTAATCCTTGTTGAAATAGAATTAAAAAGTATTTTAGTAACTTACTGGCTTGAATGGTCAACTAATGTTACTTCTTTTCTTACTTTTCCCATAAAGATGAATCCAAAAAACCAAAGCAATTGGATTTTGTAAGTATGTGAGACTGGCCTTTTAGTTTATTCTTTCTAGGTCACATGGAATAGTATTTTGAAGGGAAGTTCTAACAATATCGCGATTGAGGAACTAGTATATTTCATTTTGCTAATATTATTACTCAGTTATTTTTACATTTTTATCTCTTCCAAGTCTTGTATTTTTCAAATATTTAAGAATGCTACTGCCTTTTAAACTCAATTTATTTTCATTTTTTGTCAATTAGAGATAAACTTGTTGAAGAAAATGCAAAAAGATTTTATTCATATAGAGGAAGTGGAGTTAACTTTCAATTCTCTCCAACAACAACAATAAACCAAGTTTTATATCTCGTAACTCTAGAATTTGCTATATGAAGGACCAAAAAGAATCATGCTAGGTTATATATTCAAATTTTCTTGCGCTACTTATTTTTATCTACTTGCATCGATATATTTTTTGGTCTATCTCTAAAAGTTTTACTTTCTCTTATATCTAGAAGCTTACATCTCCTAACTGGTACACAAATAGATTTATATTTCACATGTCCAAACTATTTCAAACGATTTTTTCTTATTTTTTTCTCAATTTAGATTACTTCTAATTTTTTTCGAATCTCTTCTTTTTTAATTTTATCTCTTCTAGTTCTATCACATATCTATCTAAGTATCCTCATCTTAGCTACGCTAATTTTCTTTTCATATTGTTTCTTAATAGTTCAACCCTTAGTTTCATATAATAACACAACCCTTATAGTTGTTTTATATAGCTTTACGATTAATTTGAAATGCATGTTATAATCATACAACACACTCGATACCTTTCACCACCTCATCTATCTTGCTTGAATCCTATGATTTACATCATTTTACCCTTCACCACCTTACCTATAATCTTATGATTTACATCCTTTTCTACCTCAGCATCGTTCTGAATTATTAATCCCAAATATTGAAAATGTCTACTCTTTGGTACTATCTCAACATCCAACTTAATTACACTATCATTCATTTCCCTATAATCACTAAATTTACATTCCATATATTCATTTTAGATCTACTCGATTTAAAGCCTCAAGACTCCAGTGTATGCCTCAATTATTCTAATTTCACATTAAGATCATTACTAGTTTCAGCAACTAAGATTATATTATCCGTAAATAACATACATTATAGCACTTTGTCTCGGATATGCCTAGTGAGCTCGTTTATAACTAATGCAAAAAATAAATAGATTTAGTGCTAAACCTTGATGCAATCTTGAGGTAATGGGAAAGCTATTAGTTACACCCCTAGCTGTCCTCACATTTGTTACAAAATATTCATGCATATTTTTAACTATATTAATGTACTTTAAAAGAACTAGTTTCTTCATTAAGACTACCAAAACACTTTTCAAGAAACTCTACCATATACTTTCTTCAAGTTAATAAATGGCATATGTAGATCTTTTTTTTTGTTCAAAAACCTTTCAATAAAAGTCTCAATAAGTGAATTGCCTCTTGTGATGTGTCTTAGCATAAACCTAAATTTATTTTTGAAAATAATGATCTCATGTCTCAACTTATATTCAATTACTCTTTTCCAAAGTTTCATATAGTATAACTCATAAGCTTTTTTCTAGATAGTTTGAACAATTTCATATCTCACATTTATTCTTATATATAGGCATTTTTTAGTACGCCAAATTTTATTGAAAAGATTCGTCAACCATTATATTCCTATTTCACCCAAGCATTTTCAAAGATATTCCATCTAGTCTTACAACTATTTTCATCCTTCTCAAAGCTTCTTTAATCTCATATCTTTTAATATTTTGTTTAAACACCATATTGATATGCTTAAAAGGTATGTTAAGCTTACTTATATCATACTCAAAATTGCAATTAAATAGATAATCAAAATAATCTCTCAATCTCTTTTTAATATCCTTATCCTTCACTAGAACTCTTTTGTAATCGCCTTTGATGCATTTTACATGATTAAGATCCTTACTATTCTTATCCCTCATTCTAGTAATTTTGAACAACTATTTTACTCCATCTCTTGTCTCTAATTTTCTATATAATTCTTCATGGATCTTAGTCTTTGAATCTTTAATAGCCTTTTTGACTTCCTTTTTGCTGTCTTATACTTCATATAACTTGCCTCATCCTTATTGTTCATTAAATTACTACAACACTCCCTTTTTGTTTTAATTGCCGTTTTCACATCTTCATTCCACCGCCAAAATTCCTTTGCACGACCCTTAGATTTTTCTAAGTATCTTTTTAGCAACCCGTTGGATTTTGGTAGAAATATTTTCCCACATTAGCTGTACATCCTCATTAGGCTTCCAAACTTCTTTTACCAATCTATCCCTAAAAGTTAGTATTTTATCTCCTTTAAGTTCCGCCACTTAATACAAAGTTCATAACTCTGACGTATCCTGCTTGATCCCTAAAGGTGAAAGACGTCTAGAACTAGAAATTTATGTTGTATTGTTCCACTCTCACTTGATATAATTTTACAATCCTTATAACTACTTCTATCCTTTTCCCTCAAAAAAAAAAAAATCAATTTGACTAGATTTGACCCACTTTTAAAAGTCACCAAATGTGATTCTTTTTTCCTAAAACACGTGTTTAATATAATTAAGTAAAATATAGTCACAAACTCTATAATATTATCTTCGGTATCATTTCTTTTCTAAAGCCATATCTTCCATTCACCCTCTCAAAGTCACTATAATCCTTGCCTACGGGACCTTTCATGTCTCCTCCAATAAACAACTTTTTCTCCTCCAATAAACAACTTTTTTTCATTTGGTATGGCTCACACTACCTTGTCTAATTCTTCCCAAAATTTTTACTTACTTACTTGATCCAAACCTATTTGTGAGGCATAAGCACTGATGACGTTAACATATGTAACCTTAACATAATTTCGTATCTGGAGATGCTTCAAGTAGTTGAAAGGTACCACTTTCATTCTAATATCATGGATGACCATATGTAACCTTAACATAATTTCATATGGATTTCTACTGCTTTATGGCTGTAACAAAATTGGAAGGCATGGTTATTTTGGCCGTTCTATGACTCCATATTGGTTCTTTCGAGTGAAACTCTAATTCCTTGGGATTTTTAATGTAGATATGAAAAGGACCGTATGCATCCCATCCATAATCTTCCGAATGGAAAAGCTTGTTCATGCTTTGCTCATACAGGTAATTCTCATTACTTTTACTAAGAAATTGTTGCCTGTAATTCAGGTTGCGTAACCTTATGTTCTTGCCATTACAGGCTCAGAAGTTGAAGTTGGATGTCGAGATGTAAGTTTAAAACCAACTTATTCTTACATAGATGCTTAAATTTGACTGGCATTCTGGTTTTTCTCAATGTTCTTAATAAAGATTCTCATTGAACTAGGACATTTCTTGAATTGAACACGATTCTCAGAGTTTTTAAAATCTGCGTTCCAATTGTTTTGATCATTTTAATGCATTCATTGTACAGAAAGGTGAGAACACTTCAAAGTTCTACAGAGTTTAGTTACTGTTTTTGTTATTATAATCAGTGAAAAGCTGTTAAATGAAAGCACAACCTCTTAACAGTTCCCGTTTCTTCCTTCTAATTGTTGGACCGACACGCCAAGCAGTCTTCATAGGCAGTCCTCGTCCGGAGGTTGAGGATGTTCATTCCATACCTAGTCGAGGTAATTGGAACAACAGCAAAATTTTTCATCTTAGTTACAAATATTGCATTTCAAATTGATTCTACAGCAATTAGTAGCCTTGACTTATTTCCAAAATATGCAACTAATTGTCATTTTTTTATATTTGAGATTGTCAATGGTTGAATCTTGATCAGAACTGAGAGTCTCACAGTCTATTAACATGCCACATGGTAGTTGGCAACTAATTGTCAATATAATACCCTATAACATTGCAATTTCTATGATATTGATTTGCATAATAAATTTTTATGCTGGTAAATTCATCCTTTGCGGAGTTCATGCAGCATTCAGGAATCAGTGTTGGATTTTTCATGACCATTTTAATGTTTTAACAGTTAGTTGTCACCACATGACCATTTCTTACCCTTTAATGCTTCACAAACAACAACCAGAGACCAATGACCATATCCAAAACTATCCTACTCTCTTTTAGGTTTCCCTCACTCGTGAATTTGAGTTTTTCAACAAACCAGCTATAGCCCACCACCAACAAAAGCTAGCGGACAAGGACCAATTCCCAGTTTCTTTTTCTTTTTGTCTTTAGGTTGAAATTGAGCTTTACCTATGTAGCCAAACTCTGAGACTGCTTGCCATGAGATTCTTGATGATAGTAAAGTAAGATAGTAGCTGTGCTATCAGCCCAGTCAAATGAGCCACTTAGTGGTATAGTAAAGTATGATTTCAGTTACATTGAAATAAAATAAATACTAACCAAAAAATTTATTTAACTACAGGACACAAGAGCAAGACCATGGGTATAACCTGCACTGATGCCATTTCGAAACCTTGGCATGGAGTGTTGTCTGTAACTCTACTCTATTGACATAAGATGATATATAAGTGCTTGAGCAAGGATAGAAACTGTTTACCTGGAAAGAGAATCAATAGTTCTTGTAATAATTAGTCGAAGCTTAGTATAGAGGTTCAACTTGAAACCAATTAGTCCAACTTGAATATTACGTTTGGAAAATTTTGTGTGAAAACTGAAAACATCTTGAAAAATATTTTAATATGAAGTGCTTGAAAGCTGGAAAAAAATACAGATACATCTGGAAGTAGATTCAGAAGAATTAACAACTTTAATTTTATGAGCGTAAAAGTTATGTTGGAAGACAAAGCCAGAGGGAAGTACTAATTAAGCAATCTAATCAAGAGATAATGAAGATTAAGTCATCTTCCAATTGTTTAATCTGGTATCTTTTGTCATGATTACAACTTTTTCTTGTTACCGTATGTCTGATCTGATTACAGGTGAAACTCTAGCCAGGTTCAAGAAAAGACTATGCAGTGAAAGCAAATTCTGATCTGTGTTAAAGATTGAAGGATGGATGATGAGACCATTGAATTTCAAATTTCAATAATTCATAGAGTTTCTTGGATAAATCTGGTTTTCTAACGGTGAGGCATTAATTGAATCCAGTGATGAACCTCTTTTTGATGATGAAGAATATTCTTGACAAAGTGAGGCATAAATGTTGTAACCATCACGAAAATTTGTGGCCTATACATGTTGGATGATATGGAAATCGAGGTGTGAAGTAACGGTATGGAAGGAGTAGTTATCAGTCTAATTTGCTATTCTAAGAGCAAGGAATGCAATTATGGAGTATTGTAAACTTTTGGAGGAAAAGGAGGTGTCAGGAAAAAGGAAAGATGGTTTGCAAAGTGTTTGTCAGGATAAGTGGCGCTGTTCAGAGGCTGGGTGGTTGAAAGTGAACTGTGATGGGGCATACTGTGCGAGAACAGGACAAGGGAGAAGCAGGGATAGGGGTGCTATTATGAAATGAAAGGGGAGAACTTGTTGGAGGAATAAGAAAGAATGTAAAGGCAGATTCTGGTCTGCTAGCAGAAGGATTAGCACTCAAAGCAGGAGTAGAATTAGCTGCCGAACAGAGAAATCAAAAAGTAATTATAGAGATAGACTCCGAAATACTTTCAAGAGTATAAATAAAACAAGGGAGAAGCAGGATTGGAGGCTTAGGCCTGTTTTACAGGATGGGAACTGATAAATGAAGAGAAGCTGATATTGATAAGAAGGCAAGCCAATAAAGCAGCTGACTAAGTGGCAATATAGTCAAAAATGGGGATGAGTGTAACAGGTTGGCTTAGGCAACCTCCACTCATTGGTAGGAATATTGAGTAGGAATGAACTACCAGCACCACTTGATTGTTAATTAGTTTGAGAATGAATAATTGTTGAAATAGAGTTTCCGTAAGATCTCAGTAGGTTTAGTAAAACATTGTCCTGAGTTGTTTTGATCAATAATATTCTTTTTAATTGGCGAAGAAAAAGTTGTAACCATCGATATCACCAACCTCATCATACGGCTTGTCCATGAAGTCATCAAATTGTCTTGGATCTTTTCCGTTAACCAAATTATGACACATTTCTATATATTAGCTTTAAGTTGCAGAATAAAAAAGTTATAGATAGAGATTCGACTTATCATACTTAATATTGAACATACCGCAAAGCCTTCAAGATTAATCACCGTTTGATTTATTTATTTTTTTTTTTTTTTGAGAAGAATGGTGTAAGGAAGCTGAGGCACATAGTGACCAGCCTAACTGATTCTCTGTTTATGTAAAAGTGCCTGGTTTTATATCGAGGAACCTCTCAAGCCAGTTTACAAGGAATGTGCAGGCTAAAACAGTAAAGAAATGGACTCAAAAGATAATTTTATTTTAATGATGGAGAATACAATCAGAAATTAATTTGATAATATGGAAGTGAAAAAAAAAAGGGGAGGAAGGTGAACTTGCATGCATATGTCATAAACATATCTTAAATATATATACTTGTACTAATTGGTCGAATGTTCTCTACTCAATCCGCAAAAGAAATCTAAGATTGCCCAAACAAAATACAAAGTTTCAGCATTGGAATATATATATATATAAAGCTTGAGAAGAAATTAACCCATGTATTTCTAGCTTCCTTGTGTCTAGTGTTAACTGGTAGGAGGCTTTCGTGACAAATTAGAACTTCACTATAATTTGGAGCAGGGATGTTAACACGCCTACCACTTTTGTTCTTCAGATTGTAATAAATTAGCTTCATATCAGCAACTGTTACCAACACTTCATCACCATTCTTTGAATAAGTTAAGGGATGAAGAACTGGAGCAAAGGTATCATTTCTAAACCCAGTATAAATGTGTGAAACCGAAAACAGTCTGGTCCGAGATTCCTTCTCTCCATACTTGTTCATCACTCACATAACCACAAATGAAAGCTACAAATCACCTAACCGGAAGGCTACAAATCCAAGAATTCGTGTAATAGTGAATTCTTCCCCTTGATTTCCACTTAGACTATAAAAAATAGCCTCATGCTCCATAAAATGATATTGAGAAACCTAATCACCTTATAATCATCTTTGGCGGGGTCACAACCAAATCCGAATAAATCTTGTAGCAGTAGTATAAGGGAGGAAATTCTCAGGAACGTGGGGTAAAGTCAGGTTCTCCCTGGTAGACATGTTCCACAAAATAATACTACTATAATCTGAAGTGGACAAGCTAAGTATGCCGTTGCATATACCCAACAATTTAATATAAGTTTTGAATAATTGCTTCAAATCCATGATACGATTATAAGCTGAACTGGACAAGAGCAAGTCTTTGCATATGCCCCGCAATTTCATAATGCAGCGTTTGAATAATTGCTTCAAAGAATAATTGACTTCCTCTACTAGATGTACCCAAACTAAGTCTAGTATCTTCAACAATTACAAGGCTGCTGTGACTGTTGGTTTGAGTGGATTGTTTGAGATGGAGTTTGATGAAATTTTGATCGTTTATTAGGAAACGCCATCCCTTGGACACACTTGAAGCGAAGCAGGCTCTTTACAGGTAATACGCAGAGTATGTCGTTTATTAAATCCTATGGAACGTGATTTGCCATGACTTTTTCCTGCTGCACCGTTTCTTGATCGCTAGCTATTGTCTGTTTGTGTTGGGGCATATGTTGCAAGGTGTGCATAGACAAGTGTATATATATAACCCTAGTGTTGCTTCAATAAAGTTGCAGGTTAGGAAAAAAAGAAAAGGAATATACCTAAATAAGTCCTTCAATTTTACTACAAAATTAGAAATAAATTTATAATTTTTTATTACATTTACATGAAATTAAGTCTATAATTTTTTATTTTATTATAATTAAAACTTTGACGGTACAAAATATTTAAATTTTTGTTAATTTTTTAAGTTGTAAAATTTAATTTGTAAAAAATATTTAGTTAAATGAGCAAATGACCCTGCTTGTGACTGTATCAATATGTGGTTGGGGCCTTCATTACTATGCTTGTCAACTGGGGGAAGCATAGTCCAGAGGTTGTCAACCAACGTATGCATAGCCCTCAGGTTGTGTTTGCTTTCCTCCCATGCGGCAGAATACCGCCAGTATTCCACCTGGAAAGACCTAAAATCTTTTGCAGGTTTAATCTCGGATGGTTTTCTTCTACCTCAGATACTGCTCAACATTTTCTCATACTCAAAAGAGAAAATACTCTCAGCTGTTCATTCTATGTTGGAACCACCTTCATTCGGTTGCTGCCACATGTGTATGATCTTTACAGCAATCATAACTACATTCAACTTAAGGGAACATACATTTTTGTGAATCCTAGTCAAGATTTTTTCTCCACTGCTTGGGATGTCTGTCTTCCACTGGGACTTCTTCTCTTTGCTGCAATTATTTACTTGCAGCAGCGGTTTGGTGGTATTTGCATTATCCCTGGTAGATTTAGAGAATTGAAAGCATATGAGAAGGTTCCACTGATTGGTGAATCATGATTCCAGAAAAATTCCAGCATGTTAAGTGCTATTTGCAGTTGTTAATGTTCCTCCTTTGATATTTAACACAGCAAAGAAAATAGTAGTAGCTTAACAGGAAGCCACATATCAATGTTAATTTTGAAGTATTATCAGTGAACTGAACAGATATAAATGTGTTTGTTTCATTCCTGTAGGATGTAGAAGCACCAAATATTATTCCGAATCCTGAATTGGCAACACGAGATTGTGTTTATTGCTGCTACGGAGATTGATAAAAGGACCAGAATGCTTCTTACAGTATGGCCATGCACTCAAGGTAATCAATTCTTGACTATACGGTTGGAACATATATTATAATAAAACCTGTCAATCTGAGTTATCTGTAAACATTTCTAAGCAATGATATTCCCTTCCACTTAGGTCACCATTTATTCTATGATACTGTTGGTTATAATTGATCGTGGATAATATTTGATAAATTTTGAGTTTTATTATACGCCTTCCATGTGCATATTACCTACCTTGTGAATGAACATCCCCTAGCGTACAATAAATCAAGTCAAAGTTAGACCAAACTGTTCTTTGCCAAACTTAAACTGGAGACAACATGAGAGGCAGCCACATAATTTACTTTTCGCTTGTCCTTGCAAGGTCTTCATGCCTATATCTTATTCCATTTTATCAACTCATAGGTGCCTTGACCTCATTTTCGATTATGTTTAATGCAGCCTCTCTATATTATAGATCGATATCTCTCCATTCCTGGACAACACAACTGTGACAGAGATTGATAATTGAGCTTGTTTATGTTGTAGAAAAAAAATAATTCTGACTGGCAGCTGATTGACATTTTCGTGTTTAGACAAGCAGAAACATAAAAAACAGTCGGTTCACGAGCTTGGTATCCAATGGGCATTATTAGCTCATGTATTACAATCTTTTGGTCCAGAATATCATGTTGTTGATAACTTTCAATCTGTAAAATTAGGTATGTGGCTAGTGTATCACTGAGAAAATATGTAACTGAATTTTCAAGGAAAACTTTTGAATTGAAATATGGTCAATTCTGTTGTCCCAAGTTTGATTTTGCTTGGCCATATGAGCAGCAGTTATCAATACATACAAATTTTTAAGCAAATCAGCTAAAATATTATGACACTGAAATGGAATATAGAAACCAATGTTACAAAATATGATGCACCATCTATTTCCCCACTTCTAAAAGCTATAGCTGCTGTAGAAGAGGTCAATCAGAAATCAAAAGGTCTACTATCATTTACCCTTTATCAGCGGAAATATTCTTCAACTGATGTAGCAGGCAAAAATTATAGTCATCTGCAGCTCTCAAGTCATCACAAAACTTGCCTCCTTGCGTCAAACCATTAGCTAAACCGTCAGCGCTTGAGTTGTCTCCTAGCCAAAGCAGGGGCTCTCTTAGGGATATAAACCTGGTAATTCACCTGGAAAAAAAAGATTTAACAATATTATATTAACACCTTAAAGAAATCAATAGATCAATGCTGCCATGTTAGGAGATTGATATACAAAAATTTATGATAGGTTAAAACCTAACCTGTACCATTTCACCACCACGCATCACAGACATTGTCTTTTGCTGAAATTGTGAACCATCCTTGGTCTCATCTTCCAGTTTATCTGAGCTGATGTCTCCAGAGGTAGATATTGAAGAAGAGGATGGCTTAATGCAAGCAGAATCAAGGGTATTATTAACTTTACCATCATTATTGCCACACTCAGGAGGTTTCACAGTTTGGGCAGTTCCTAAACCACCCTCATTCACACTATTCTCAGTTACCAACTTAGCTTGAGAAGATTCTAGTGCAGCAGATTCTTGTTTTTGGGTGTTATAAATATGAGGTGATTCCTGTCTTATTCGTGATTTAACAGACTTTGTCCTAATAGAAATAGAAGCTGCATTATCCTTGGAGGGTTTCACAGTTTGGTCAGTTTCTAAAACAACCTCACTCACGCTACTCTTTGCTAGGGAAGGTTCTTGTGCAGCAACTTTTTGTTTTTGAGTGGTGTCAGTATTAGGTGCTTCCCGTCTGGTTCGTGACATAACCAACTTTGACTTATTAGAAACAGAATTAATAGCTTTATTAACCTCTACTCTAGGTAAATCAGCAGGAACCACCTGAGCAGGTGGAGAAGCAACATCACTCCCCACAGTCCCAGAATATTTACCAGCATCATTCAGATGTGATGTCTTCTTATCATTCTTAGGAAGTAGGGTAGAGTCTCTTCTAACTGGACACTGTTTAATCTGTTGACTCACTTGGCTTGCAATTACCACTCTAGCATCATCTCCCATAGGGGTTTTAATCTGAAACAGGTCAGTGTTTACAGAGGAAGGTGTTTTAACATCATCACTCTTATCACTCAGGGTAATTGGAGGGTTTATATTGGTCTGGAGCCCTCCACGAAATTTTCTTAAGTTTTCCAGTGCACGCTGTCTTAAAATCAATTCCATATCATCACCATTAAAACCACCAGTGGCACTTGAAACCATTTTGTTTTCGTCCAAGACATCATTTTCCCCAACCCCATCATACCTAGGTTTACCATCCTTGCCACTTTCTTCAACACTGCTTGTTCTGATGTTAGAAACTTCTCCATGTTCATCATCTATGGGCCTTTTTGTCTCAGACACAACATGGGATCGCTGAGGTAACTCCCTCTGGCCACAGCCATCATTACTATCATTGCTTCTGCAGGATGGGTAATCATCATAATCATATACTTCCTCTTTAGGCTCATCAGCATTCAACTCTATGCAGCTTTCATTTTCTCGTTTAGCAACAGTAATAACTGACTTCAGCCGTCTTGAATTGCTCTCCTCCATCACTCCATCCTCAATTGGACAATCACTACCTTCATTGTATCTACTGCAAGAAGAACAACTCCTTGATCTGTCCCTATTTTTTTTGCTTCCTCTTTTAACCTTCTCCGGCATTTCGCTACCTTCATTATATCTACTGCAAGAAGAACAACTCCTTGATCTGTCCCTACGCCTTTTGCTTCCTCTTTTAACCTTCTCCAGAATTCTTCCATCTTTCTCCTTCCTTTCCGATCTGCCCCTTCTCTTATCATATCCAATCTCATCACTGCTACTCCTACAAGTTGAGCAACTCGATGACCCACTACTCCTAAAACTCACAATCACATCTCTCCTAGACTTCTTCCTCTTGCCGGCTCTCTTCCTTGTTTCATAACCACCATCCCTCCTTGAACCTCTACGTTTCTTTATACAAGGAGAATCCTCACTACTTTCCCTACCGGAGGACCGCCTTCTAGCCCTCTTCTCACCACCTTTCACATCCTTCCTATAACGAGACCGGGACCTTCGACTTCTATAATCATCCTCCGAACTAGAGGATGAAATAGACACCATACTTCTCGAGTTACTATCACCCGAATAAGAAACAGAATCATCACGTTGACGTCGAAGCTTCTTGGACTTGCTTCTCCTGCTCTTAACCTTATTTCTCTTCCTTGTTTTCGACTACCATGAACAATGCACATACATACAAAATTAAGAACCCATTTTCCGCCGAACTCTTTATTCAAAGATTAAATGTTATTTTTTTGTTATTACTAACAAAAGGGACATTCAAAAACCAAACGAAATCACCCAATTAAGTACACACTAAACCAATTTTAAATTTTATAAGAAGAAAATACAAAAAATATCAGTCCAAATTTCTCAACCTTCAGTTTCCTAGTGCCAAATAAGCCAAAGTTTAAATTTTCAATCATCCAAGTAAAATATACTAAAAAATGAGCCTAAAGATCTCACCTTTCCTTGATGTTCCTAAATTTTCTAGGCATCCAAACAAAGGGTAAATCTTTAAACCACTCAACTATAAATTAAAGGGAATAATTGACCAAAAAATTAACACACAAAAAACCATAAAAAATTATTCACATTTAAAAGAGAGAAAGAAAAGAAAGTACCTGGGACGAATTTTTGGAACGTTTTTTCTTTAAGGAAGACGATTTTCCCATCTTTGAGTTTTTGCTTTTTCTCTATCTTTTATCTGCAAAGAAAAAAAACCCAAAAAAGTAGAAAAGAAATCAAACGAGAAAAAAAAGATTAATTGATGACAAATTAAAGGGAAGAGAAGAAAATTGGCAGACAGAAGAAGATGAAAGCTGAATTTTTTTTTTAATATTGTCTTTTTGGAAGAGTTGGGCAACCGGCAACCTTAATAACCGATAAAAACTCGTTAGCTCTTAAAACGATCAACCGGCTTGTCGTTTTTATGGTTCCCGTAAAAACCGTTTTATGTAAAGTAAATCATAAATAAATGACAATTTTCTTGTTTTTTCTTTTTATTTTATGTTTTAATTAATATAAAAGTTATTATCTTTTACGTCAAAAATAGAGTTTCTTTTAATTATAATTTGTAGTAAATTAAAAAATGGACAAAAAGTATAACTTCTGCCTATAATATAAAACTATTTATCTATCATTATTAAAAAAATTAAACAAAAATATGTTTTATATTTATTTATCTTATTTTTTATCTCTCATTTTTCTCTCTTCTTATTGTTTCTTTTCTTTTTTTTAATTATTTTAAAAAATTATAAATTGTTATAAGTTAAAAAAAATGGACAAAAAGTATAACTTCTGCATATAATATAACGAATATTTATCTATTTTATTATTAAAAATTTTACACTAATGGCAACAAGCTTTTTCCAGGTTTTCAGGTATGGAATGTTGGGTGATGGCCAAAAAGAGCATAAAAATGTATGTATCAGAAACATCAAGGAACTGAGAAGTTACAGAAACAAACACATGAATTAAACTTATAACATAATTGGAGTACTTCGTCACAGGAATCAAGTTACAATATCTGATCTTCCTTGGCAATTATTACATTGTTCGTAGAAACATGCAAAAATTATTAGTAGATGTACTTCAGAAGCAGAGGTTACATCCTAAGCATCTTCACTGTCACTCATACTAGGACGGGTATCAATGTATACTTCCGATGAGAAGTTGATTTCATTAACGATCCTCCCCCTGTCCCATGCAAAGAACAGATAAACCTATATGATGTTTCATTGTCAAGAAAAAGAAATGGAACCAAAGGTAGAAGTGCTACCTCTCCAGGACAAACTTTCCTTCTTTGTACTTTGACTCTTCTCATGTGCTGTCTCCTGCCCAGTAAAGATGGAATATCAATGGGAAAGCAAAGTTACTGAGATTTGATGCCAATCTCAATTTATCTGAATAAGTACGTGCGTATGCGTGTGAGAGAGAGAGATTACGAATTTCCAGCCAACAATTTGTCCACAACAGCAGCAAAATATATCAGATACAGTATGCATTCCAGAAAGCATCATCCTCTCCACTAAGGCTCCAACTGTTATGTTCACCCTGAAGCATGAAACTCTAAATGGGTAACCAACTCTAAGCATCCATCTGATTATGAAATATTTCAGAGGAAAATGTCACTTATGAGATTTTGAAGATTTATGGCTTTAGAAAAGATCATGGCGGTATAATATGAAAATTTCAGTATTGCACAAATACTAACAGCTAGAAGAATTAGCCAGCAGCTTTAGGCGGTTGAATAAAACTGCATAATCTTTTTTAAGAAACCAAAATGATCAGTACAACAAAATGAATTTTCCATCAACAAGAAGAAACTATGAGATCTTAAGCATTAGTGAAGAGGTAGGCTTTCCCCTGGCGACAATGGAAAGACTGAACAAATAGTGAAAATGGCAAAGAGGTGGTTACCAATCTAACATGGAGCTGAACTGTATGAATTGTTTATACCAGAATTTAAAGTGAAAATAAAAACTTCATAACCAAGGCATGCAACGTGGGAGAAATTAAATGTATATAAACAAACTCTGTCTCTCTCTTTCCCCCACATGCACACAGCTCAAAAAACAGAACAGAAATAGGTGCGAGAGAGCAACAGTTAACCAATTAACCATCTAAAAATATACATAAAAACATCAATTTAACAGATATTTATTAAAAAGTAATAGTCTGCAGCACATCTGCAAACGTGTTTAGCTGAGCCTCTCTATCTTTATGCTGAAGATATGTTAATATTTAGCTAATCTCATGGATCTCAAAATGCAGCATTTATATTCTATTTAATTTTCAGGACTGAATATACCATCTTGTGTCTTGAATGGAGTCATTGGAAAAGGTGGAAAACATCTCCATAAATAATGGGATTGGGGAACAATCTTGGTAATTCTTCTATTCAAGGTTCAATGGAAAAGGTGGAAAACATCTCCATATATCGGGATTGGGGAACAATCTAGGTAATTCTAGTATTTTCCTATTTCGAAAGTTTTTTGCTTGCTTCTAGCATAGGATTGCCAAAAGAAAAATAACCAGGATTCCAGGAAAACATATGGAAATAATTAGATTCCCAAGGTATGAAAACAAACTCCTTAAAATTGCTTAGAGATTAGGAAATACCAATTACCTTTGAATAAATATATGAATTAATTTTGTTACTACCAGAGAATAATAGTTCCATCCAACCATGTTTAACATAAAAAAAGAATCCTTATTTTCACACCATGCATATTCTGTTCTCTTGGAACTCTAAGGTATCTCAGCAGATGGCTTTGAGGGCTTCAATCATAAAAGAATAGCCTACTATAACCTGGTTACTATCAGGGTTTCTCCACCAGAGAAGCAGTGCTAGTTGGAATAGCCCATTACAATAGAGAAAAAGAAGCAAAGGGGAAATAAATAGTAAAACAAAGATTTTCAACATGGAAGGTTTCAAGATCTCTATACTGCAGACAACAATGCCTAGAAGCAATGTATTCCGAGAATTGAGAAAGCAATGTATCTTTAGAAGGCAAATCAAAGACTTCATTGCACAATAGACGCACAAAATAGTTGAATAAAAACCAACTGAGGACGTCAGGCATAATTGATACATCAAACAATAGCTAACTTTTAAAGCAAATAAATCTTTAGGTATGGTGATCTAGAGAACACAAAGCCTTTCCATAAGGCATAAATGATTACATCAAACAAGCAATTTCCCCATCTTAAGAGAACATGAGGCCATTAGCTAAGGTAATTTTGGTTCACTCTTTTTCATGTAGTCGATTCTTAACTTTCCTCATTTGTGGTTCTCATTTTGCCCCCAAATAAATCAACGGAATTCGATCACAAAACTACTAATTTAAATCCTATTTGAAAAGTAAAACCAATAAAAATTCTACAGGAAATTTCACATTTTTTCCCGATTCACCACCTCTCTTGCTTCTCTCCATTGTTCGATTCTTGCATCCAAAATCCTAAACTTCATCTTTCCTCAAATGCCAACTAGATTCGCACAAAAACTCTTATTCATTTCACAACTCATCATCAACAACCATCATAAAACCAATAACACTAATTATTTACCATGTTTCTAGTGTAATCTTGCTAAATAACAGGATCCACACATCAAAAGTTCTAAACTTTAAACTTGCTTCCATCAATAATTGCTAAAAGAACCAACTTTTACAACCAAAAAAGAAGTATTTGATGATAAATGCAAAACAAATGGCTGAGAAATGAAAAACGCAGAAAGATAGAGAGAATAAAAAGTGGGGTACCCTGGAAACAAGATCATCAGGGAGAGCTAAGTGAGTTCTACAAAACTTGCATCTATAAGACCTTCCATCAAGCTCAACCACAAAAATACTTTCCATTTCCCTTGTTTTTTCTTCTGTTCTTTTCACTGCTATAGCCAAATCTTAGTGTCTAAGATAGGGAAGAGATTGATGAGGTGGGGAATGAGTGACATATTTACATGAGTTGTACATTTGGTGATAAAGTTTTTGGCGGTGACAGGAATGAGGGAGTTTTGGGGTGGAGCCCATGAACCATTTTAGTTAAGTTTCATATTTGGTTAAGTTGAATTGGGCTATTGTATCCAAAAGACTCCAAAGAAGAAGCTGTTTATGAGATCCAGACCCATCCATTGGATTTGTTCTTCACTAAATAAAGTAAACATTAACATTACGTTTATGACCAAGAATCATATGGTATTTTATTTAGGGTTTTAAAAATGAGTGTATAAGAATACTCTTTAAGATTAATTTTTTTTTAAAGAACTTTTGTACTAAATATCACAATTAATTCATACGATTATTTGCATTCGAGCATATTTGAAATTCAAATTCTAACATTTACAAAATAATTTTAAAGAGTATTTTAAAGGAATTCGTTAACAAAATCTTTTTATTTATACAAAGAATGAGATTGTCCAACTCCAATAAAAATTTAACTTGCAAGAGTGCCAAATTGCTTAAGGGTTATTGATTTCTCATTCCCTTTATAGCTATTAATACCAAACTGAACTTGAATAATTAATGTTTTAACATGTTAACTGTTTGATCCATTTTCTAGAATATTGATATAAATAATAAAATCTTAGTCATTTTCCATTCAAAATTCTTATTTTTAAGATTGTATTAACTCAAATAAACAATTCAATACGAATAGTCTAACGAAAGGAGGATGAGAAAGAGCAAAGTAATGGGTTTGATTAAAGGATTGAGGCTTAACTAGATTAGGCATCTAATCTATTGTATTTGGTGAAAAAGGCTATTGCTCAATATTTGATGAACAATTTAATGCTTTTTTTTTTAATATATATATATATATATATATATATATAAGGAAGTGATTTGGATTCAATACATTGTAAACGTCATAGATTATTTAGTTAAATATAATGTCACCAAATGGTCATTCGATTTATGATTTGATTTTGAGGAAAAACAAAAAAACAAAAAGAACACTAATTTTGGAAAATAAATAAATAAAACTAGACAATGACATTTAATCTAGCACCAAACCCTAATGAAAATTGTCAGGGAAAAGTGAGAAACAAATGACTAACAAACAAATGAAGTGTGGAAATTTAAAACTTTTATTTTTGTTTTACACTTAAATTTAAAAATTCGTATATTTGTTTTATATAAAAAATTGATAATTCATATATTTATATTATATTTTATATGAAAATATATATTGTTATTTTATTTTATATAAAAAATAGGAAATGTATTTTTAAATTTTTTAATTCATATATAAATTTTTTAAAATTTTAAATTGTATCATAATCATATACTTTTATATTATTTTTATATGTTATTATGTGATATTTTAAATTAACAAATTATATCATTTTATGGGTTAAAGCCCAAAATGCTACAAAAGCCCGTGTAGAACCTTTAAGGAAGGAATTTTCCACATGACTTCTACTCACAAACACAATGTGATATTTGACAGAGGTGATAATGGTTTGGGTTTTTTAAATGTTAATAATATTATGAAAATTTAAAATTTAATTTGAATTCGAATTAAATATTTATTTTATTCGAATTAATTTCAATTAAATTTTATTAATTTAATTTATTAATTTTTACGTATTATTTTAATATAAAATTTTAATATATTTAAATAAATTTTTTTATAAAATTTTTATTTTTATTTTATAAAAATTAAAAAAATATATAATTTGATTCGATTCAATTTTTTTAAATTTTTTATCTTTCAATCTAAAATTCAATCTGAATCTAATATATATATATATATATATATTTAATATCCAAATTTATTTCAAATCAAATAAAAAAAATCAATTCAAATTAAATCAAACATTATAATTTTAAATCGAATTTTTGAATTTTTAATTTTTTTCTTCACCTTTAATATTGATAGATAAACACTGACCTTGAGGTTAGGTAAGAGCACACCTAACATTTAAGGAGTTTAAACTAACCGAATATATAAGAATGAATTTTATTATATTTATGATTTGTTTATTTTATTAATGAAATTATGTTTTTTTTATGTTTAACAATCATAAAATTAAGATTAATTTTTTTTGTCTTTATCTTAATTTTTATATAAAATAGAAAAATGTTCATTTAAATTAAGTGTTTAAATGAATTGATGATATTATATTATAATAATATGATTAAATTAAATGTCTTAAAATATTATAATAAATTGATGACATTATTTTTTATATTTTTAAATTTATTTATTTAATTTTTAAAAATATTACATATTTATTTTATAAATTATTAATAGTATTATTATATATAAATTAATATATATTAATAAATATATTTATATAAAATCAAAATTTTTGAAAAAATATACTAAAATAATTAATATTGACATATATTATCTTTTTAAATCAAAACGTTGTTTGATATTATATAATAATCTTGATTTATATTGATATCAACAAAAAGATAAAAGTTAAATTAGATATTTAGAGAAATTATTTAAATAAAATTAAATAGTTCAAATTGTTTATAATATTTTAATGATTACTAATTAAAGTATTTTAGGCAACGGAAAGTTAAAAAAAAAAGGAAAGTATTACTCTGATAAAATTAGATTAATTTTATTTTACAGTTCTCATTAATATTTGAGTAAAGAAACAGGTCGGTTACCTGACACTCCAACAAACACGCAGCTGTCAATGGGGTCAGTCTGGTAGCGTCACACAGCAGTGACAGTCAGCAGCACTCCTCAGTCAGCCGCCCAAACTCTACCAAGAGCCCGGCCCCTCCTTTTCACATTAAAAAAATTCCACTACGTGTCGCACAACCGCGTTCCCAATCTCATCAAACAGGGGTCCCACTATCCCAATCCCTCGCCGACGCGCCCGCTTACCTGTCACTCACCTTCGGACATGTCACCCCAAGGCCACACCCCCTTTGTTTTTCCCTCAGCCGCCCTCTCCCCAAAAGCATCCGTACAAAAGTTCACGTGAATTCGGACAGGTGGCGACTGATGATTGGCAAAACGAATGATTTTTCAACGTGAGACTGTGGGTGGAATTTATCACAAAATTATTTGTGGGTGACTGAACAAAAAAAGAAAAATGTTTTGTTGGCGGATTCAAGACGACACCAAGACTGGGTCCCACTCCAAAAGTGGCCGCCAGGGCCACCTCTTTGAAGATTGTTTCACGTGTGAACCCTATATATATATATATATATATTTTAAATGAGATTTATTAAAATAAAGAATTTATATCAATAAATATTAGCAACACAACTTTTATAAAAATGTAAAGATTAAAAAAAGAAAGGCTAATTTAATAATGAGATTAAAAATTATTTTTGATCTAATTTAAATATTAAATAAAAATATTATTATTTTAGTTTAAAAACTATAATTTGGAAAATGTACATTAAAAAGTTAGTAAGAATTTGTTCATTGGTTCAATTGCAATTTTTATCATATGATTTTATAATTTTATATTTCTAAATTTTTTATTCATTCATTTCTTTATATATTTTAATTTAAAATAATATTAAACATTTAAAATTATGAATCATATTTTTTTCATTATACTTTTTTTCTAATTTATTTTTTTTTCAATCGATAGCAATCTTAAATTTAGCTTTAATTATAATTTTAGAATTTTTTATAAAAATACTTGTTAATGAAATTTATATATTTTTATTGAAAAATATCAGAGTATTTATAAAATAATTAATTATTAAGATAATACGTAAAATTTTTTATTTAATGTGCCAATTTAAGAAATAAGTTTTAAATATAATTTCAGCAAGTATCAATAAGCAAGTATTAGTATTTCCCATGCCAAAACCTAAAATTAAAAAAATTTTGAAATCCATTTTCGCTGCCAAAGTGCCAAGTGTTAGGCCAATCTAAATGGATAAACAAAGGGAAGAAAAAGTTATTTATTCCTTCTCTGGGGCAATTCCCAATTATAATTAATTTTTTGGCCAATTCATTAATAATAATAAAATAGTATATAATTAATTGGGCGGCGAAGCTGCACGAGACGACTACCGAAATCTCGACATGAACCTCGTCAACACGGAATTACTCCCCACCCCAAAAACTTGGGCCCCACTTCCCATTTCCCATCACAATTCCCGCCTCACACTGAACGCCGTCGATTCCTCTCTTAAATAAAAATTCCAAAACAACCGCGTCTAAAGGGAACCTCACTGTCTTCCTCTTTTCTCAACCTTTCGATCCAAAACCGCCCATTGAATCAAATCAACGACTGTTTTGATAACGCGAATCAAGCAGTGGTTGATACTTTTTGTTCGACGCAGCTGATTTCGGTTTTCTACTACAAACTCAGTGCGGTTCCGTACGAAATGGGACCATCGGTGACGTCATCAAACAGATTTTCTAACAACCGCCGAACCTCTCTCTAAGCAACGCAAACTATGACGTTTACTTGTCGCTCGCTTGCCTGGATCGCAGATTCAGTAATAATATAAATATAATAAAATTCTCAAATTCAGTTCATCTTTATGTTAATTTTTTAAACTTTTGTTTAGAGATAGTCATGTTTAATTAATTTTATAATTTTTAATATGTTTTAAAGACATTCGACATTTTATTAATTTTTGTTGATAAAATCTATATTAATAAAAAGTATTTTTTAAAGAAATTATAAATTCTATTTTTTCAAAAGAAATTTTCAAAAAGAAAAACAAAAAAAAAAAAAAACTGTTAACTAATGCTTGAAAATTTGATGTTTAGTTTAGTAGTTTTATATAACCACATTAATGATTTTTAAATTTTAACATTTTCAGCATTTATAACCCGTCTTTTACTCTCAAGCATCGCCTTCTATGAAAAAAATTATAAAAGAACTACTATTTAATGCAATTTGTTAATTTAAAAATGAAATATATTTTTTTATAAAATATAATGTTAGTGAATTATTTTTAAATTGGGCATTTATTGTTTAACTAAAATCTTTGTTGCCAAGAAAAAACAATATTGAAGGGTTATTTTGAAATTAATTTTACAACCAATTTTTGCTGCAATCTTTAAAATATTTTGACAGTCATAAGTATATGACGATGAAAAATAAATATAACAAAAATAAATATCTCAATTTGCATCAAAATATAAGAAAATAAAGAAGATAAACAATAATAACATTATGATTTAAATTTAATTATAATAAAGTAGAAACAACAATGAGAAAATTTTCTCAAAGTTGCCAAAAATAGAACTCTAGAAGTTACATTTTCCTTATATACATTACATGTCAGCTTTTAACCCAAAAAAACAAAGGAAAGCCAAAAACGCAGAGAATCAAAGCTCAAAACGATATCCGGCAAAAACAGAAGTATCATTCCATCTCAGCTGGCAACTGATTAAGATCAAGATCAAGCACTCTTCGTTGCGCCCCTCCTTCAAAATCAACAACCGAAGACGACGAATCTGAATCGCTCTGGGCCCCACCTGAGTCGGGACAACCCGAACCGGCAGAAGCAAAGGCGTCAAAGAAAAGCGTCGGACGATTCGCCGTCACGGGGAGAGAAAAACACGCGCTGGCTAAAGTGAGGTCCAACGGCGGCGGAGAAGAAGACTCCACGGTGCTGCTCTGGCTGGGACTGCGCGTGAAGTTGTTGACGTTGTTTTCCATGAAATTTGTTTTGGCCTTAGCCCCACGGAACTCTCGTGCCGCCGTGTCGTAGGCACGCGCTGCTTCCTCAGCCGTGTCGAAGGTGCCAAGCCAGACCCGGGTCTTTTTTCTCGGGTCCCGAATCTCGGCGGCGTAACGGCCCCATGGGCGCTTTCTAACACCCCGGTAACGGATCTCCTTGGAATTCGGGTCGAGATTCGGGTTAATCGGGCTGGGTTTTGATCTAGGAGCCATGGTTTTTCCGGCGTTCTTTTTTTCCTTTATAAAGAATAGTGAGATGAAGGAAAGAGAATTTAAGTTACGGATAATGAGGAGGATAGGTGTCCTTATATAGGAGGGTGAGCGTTAAAACGCACCGGTTCGGCGCTTCGTTGTGAGCAGTGAAAGCAGGATTTATGGGAGTTGATTGTCTGTTGCACGAAGCACTTTAGTTCAATTTTGACTTCCAATCATTTTGCACCATGTGTTTGGTTGCTTTCTAATATTAAATTTAATCATATATATGCTGAAATAAAATTTTAAAACAATTAAATTATTAAATTTTTCTTTCTATATTAAAATGATTTGCTCAAGCACGTGTACGTGCATGTTATAAAATTACTTAAATAAAATTTAAAAGATAAATGGAAATAAAAAAGGGTTCTTCCAAGAAAAACCTTGGACGTACTCCAAAACCGCGTTTTCATTTTAAACAGGATAAAATTTTAAGGACCCACACGCACTTGAGCATCACAGTCTACACGTGGGAAAATCTAGAGTTTATTCCATACTATCGGTTGCACCAGATTCTACTGACTCAGTCAGCCAAGTCTTTGACTGCACTAATCCACAATCAAAGTATTAAGGAAAATAATTAATTATTTATAATTAAATAAATCCCAACTCATAGCCGCCCTGCCGCAAAATAAGCACAGTGGCCCCCTTGCAATAAATCTAAGGAATCCACGTGTCATTAGTGCGATGGTTCTATCTAGGGCGGCGTTTGTTAACGGCGGTTAAAACGGCGATTTTACAGTTACTTTGTTTTGTTGTTGTCCGAATTAACGGAAAAGTATTCAGTGACTGCGGTTGTTTTAATTTATTTTTTGTTTAATGTTTTTGGTCGGTATTATATTGGGGCTGTGTCTGATGCCGCGTGAGAAGGATCTCGTAATTTTCTGGAAACTCACTTGGAAGCTGCTGTCGGCTTTGAAGTGGTCAATGGGATCCAACGGTTGTAATTGATTTTGTTTGTTTGTTTATGTGTTGACACGTGTTGAGTGGATACAAATTTATCATTTTATTTTTAATTTTTATTGAAACAATCCTTATATTTTTAATTTAGTTTAAAATTAAAATTTAGTATCGTGTACCGTCGGGTAAAGGCTGCCATTGTTGGCTCTAAGCTCAGGCGCCTGACAAGCAATCTTGGTTAAGATTTTCGAAATGGGAAGAAGGGGCTGTGTCAATTGAATAAGCTTCGGCTTATCAAGGAGAATGAGGTCTAGTGCTCCGGAATACCATGGAGAGAGAGCAATAGAACAATACTAGTAATCTAGGTTTTTCAAATCCTAAACCTAATTTTTAATCTTCACCGTCAAACAATTCCACTCTCTCATTTTCATTTCTCAACAATGCGCCCCATATTCCGATCCCAACTATTAAAATCCATTTCGCAGGACACCATACAACGGAAATTCAAATTCAACTTCCCATTTGATTTTCCAAAATCCCATTTTCACTTCACCCAAATTCCTCAAACCCATGCCCAAAACCCCACCTTTAATTCTCTGGGTACAATAAAAAAGCATGGTTTTCTTCATTCACTTGCAAATTCTAATGAAAGCATTGGCTTTCAGCAATACCCAGAAGAAAAATATTCTTTGAAACTCCAAAGCATTTTAAAAACCCATAGAAATAGCTCAATAGAAGAGATTGAGCAGGCTCTTGATCAATGTAAGGTTACAATAACAGAGGGTTTGGCCTTGGATTTGGTTAAGCGAAACCAGTCTGATTGGAAACTAGCTTATGTTTTCTTCCAATGGGTGTCCAAAAATGGTGGAAATTCACTTGGTTTTGATGTTTACAATGAAATTCTAGACATTCTTGGAAAAATGCATCGGTTCGAAGAGTTAACTAAGGTGTTCGATAAAATGTCTGAAAGAGAAGGACTTGTTAATGAAAGGACTTTTCGGATTTTGCTTAATAGGTATGCCGCTGCACATAAGGTGGAGGATGCGATTGGGGTGTTTGATAGGAGGAAAGAATTCGGATTGAAGGATGATTTGGTTGCATTTCAAGTTCTTTTGATGTGTTTATGTAGGTATAAGCATGTAGAATTTGCGGAAACTTTGTATCAATTGAAGAGGAGAGAGTTCGGTTATGATATAAAGACAATGAATATTGTTCTCAATGGATGGTGCGTGTTGGGGAATGTACATGAGGCTAAAAGGTTTTGGAAGGATATAATTGAGTCGAAATGTAAGCCGGATTTGTTTACATACGGGACTTTTATAAACGCGCTGACAAAGAAGGGAAAGTTAGGCACTGCGATGAAGTTGTTCCGAGGAATGTGGGAGAAAGGGTGTAATCCAGATGTGGTGATTTGTAATTGTGTTATTGATGCTCTTTGTTTCAAGAAGAGGATTTCTGAGGCTTTTGAAGTGTTTAGGGAGATGAGGGAACGTGGTTGTGTTCCAAATGTTGCAACTTACAACTCGCTTATCAAGCATCTAAGCAAGATTGGGAGGATGGAAAAGGTGTATGAGATTTTGGATGGGATGGAAGGGAAGGCAGAGTGTTTCGCAAATAATGTAACTTTCAATTACTTGCTCAAGTCCTTGAAGAAACCAGAGGAAGTTCCCAGTGTTTTGGAGATGATGCAGAGAATTGGTTGCAATATGTCTTGTGATACATACAATTTGATCTTGAGGTTGTACATTAAATGGGATCAGGAAGAGAGAGTTAGACATACGTGGGATGAGATGGACAAAAGTGGATTGGGACCAGACCGGCGTTCTTATACAATTATGATTCATGGGCTGTATGACAAGGGAAGGATTGAGGATGCTTTGAGCTATTTTAATGAGATGACATCTAAAGGAATGGTGCCAGAACCAAGGACTGAGATCTTGGTGAATGCCATGAAGAACAAGTTGAAAGAGCAAGAAGATACAAAAGAAAAGAAAGATCCAGGGGAAAATGGCAAATCACCTAGCCCTAGGTCTAAAAGGTTTAAAAGAAGACAAAAGCTGGGTAATGCTTCCTCTAAAATTAAACCATTAGGTAACTAATAGAAGCCTAGAGGAGGCTTTAATGCTGTGCCAATCCTATAGATTATCAATGAAGAAAACCGATATCCTTTTACCCAATTCCAAAGGGTATAATAATCTAATCTTCTGGTGCTTGTTTAGTTTTTAGAAATCATCCATGCAAGTTTACTGTGATTGCTTGAGAGCTTGACTTCCAAAATACATTATATCCACTTCTAACCATCCATCGCTAGCTGTGCTTTGCTTCATATGGAACACTGGCAGCATCAATGATAGATTCCCATGGCCTTACCTTATCAAAGCATATTTGGTATTTATATGCTTTCGTAGAAAAAAAAAGTGAAAAATAGTTTTTAAGAAAATGCTCGAAATTGAAAACAATTTATAAATTTAATGTTTAAGAAGAAAAATGTTTTATTCTTTTTATTGAAAAGAAAAAAAGCATTATTTTTTTAAATTCATAATTTACCATTAATTCTTTCAATTTATCTCGTAACCTATCTGAAAAGAAAATATTTTTTTCTTTTTATTTGACGCTTTGGAATTTTTTATGATTATTATTATTATTATTATTATTTTTATTCATAATCTACCATTAATCCCCCCAATCTATCCACATAATTCACCTGAAGAAGGCATTACGGACAAACCCTCAATTCAGCTGCAAAAGACATCCGGCAACTTCCAGAAGTTTAGGAGTTTGTTATTATAGAATTCCATAAGACAAAGCATGTTGGATTTTTACTACATGATTCGTGCCACATCATGCTTTGCGGACTGCTGGTTCTGTTGAAGGCTCATTAAAACAGAAAGAGAGTGAGAATGGTTAACGAGACAGATTCTGGGACTGATACAACTAGACATGCTGGTTCATTCAAGAAGTGTTTGGTAATATCCAGAAACTTTACAAACTCAACATAACATGATCCTCAAATTAGAGATAGAAGAGAAAATGTGTTAAGAGGCATTTAAAAAACAAAGCAGAAAATGGTGTAACAAAAGATAACAGTTTGTGTTTCTCTGCCTAGGAAACAAAAGAATGATTTCTCAACATGCTCCTCCCTCTTCTATGCGGCATTTGCAGCTGGAGCAGGGGTATACCAGGCATGATGGATCTTTATAGCTTTCTTTCTCCTAGCAAGACGCGACTTTCTTTGTGCTCCAGTGTTCCTATACAGTGTTCCCACTTTTACTGCTTTATCTATCACTGAATAGGCCTCAGCAAGCAGTTTCTCGATTGGGAGGATTTCTTCAGCTTGTGCATCACGTTTCTTCCTCAGCACATCCAGTGCCTGCAAATCCTTGAACAAAAAAAAAAGTCATTAAACACTTCGTGGAACATCATGAATCATCTAAGAACAGGTTATAAAACAGATTGCTTATTTCTTCTGTTTTATTGGGCATTAATCATTGAATTGAAGTAGCAGAAGATGATAATAAAGGCATGGAAAGGAACAAAAGTGCAGATAGAAAGTCAGATATCTCTCCCATAAGGTGTGATCACATTCCAAACTAAAGCAAATATGCACCCCAGGTAGGCAAAAATGGGAAACCATATCAGGAGTCTATCCCAGCAAGTGGCGGACGAGATTTTTCTGCTTGTCATTTCGGTTAAGCTTAGGTTGCATAGCACTAAAAATAACTCTTCTAAACACTACAACTGTTACATATTCATCCATTTCTTCCCCTGATCTCTAATTTCAGCAATGCTTCCCACCAAAAGTGAACTTAGAAACAATTTAATTGGCTCATACATTTAGCCCTAATGAACATGTACAATACCATCCACCAATGAGAATCACACACATTCTAATTGGCAAATCAAAGATTTTGGATTGAGACGAGAGATGACTGCTTAACATAAATGGTACCATCATGCATATGCTTCATGGCCATGCAATCAAATTATCCAGCAAGATTAATTTTGGTAGTAATAACTCAACCAAGAGATATACAAAACCCATACAATTAGGCTAATCCGTTCTGCAAAGAGTAAATCTTGTATATCTTTGTGGCCTAGATTAGCTGAGTTTGAACTGCAGAATATTTCATAAGAATCTTGTGAAATTACCAGAAATATTGGGTTTTATTTCTACATAATGGCTTAAGTGCGGGTTCTAAACTAAGAGCCAAAGAAAGTTGATATTAATTACTAAATATAAGTTCTCATCTCTTAGATCATTCAAGACTAGGGATCATCCAAGGAAAAGGCCATAACACAGCATGAGCCACCCAACTTAAACCTTCCTTTCTATCTTTGTAAATAATTAAGATATACATAAACCACAACATATAGCATAATCTATGACAACCTTAATGTTAAATTATGTTCGATAAAGCAGAGAACTCCGCATTCTTTCCCTTGAATTTTACATAGGGCCCAAGACTCATCCAAGAAATAGAAATAAAATTCTTTTCACACCCTATAATATAACTACAATCGAATTCCAGACACAGCAATTTGTTGTGGTTTAATTCAATGAAAAGAGGAATTCCTTTTAACTACAACTACAGTTTTTGCCTTTGTTATTATCTCATCTTTAATCTGCTCTAAATATCATAGACAGTGGATATAATAAGAGGAACATGTAATGCAAAGTAACATGAGACACATAAAAGTCCAGCACTCAGCATTCCTAAAATCCTATAAACACAACAATAATAACCATTTTAAGCAATCAGGGAAATAAATGCAAGGACTAGTACCTTCTTCATCCGGGTTCTGACTTCAGATTTCTTTGCTTTGTTCTAAATACGTCTTTTTTCAGCTTGACGAGCCCTCTTAGCAGCTGAATCAGCCTTCTTGTTTGGTGCAGCCTCACAAACAACAGAACGACGACTTGGTTTCTGAGTAATTGCACTAAAAGATAGACTCCCTAAAACAAAACGCCATATTCATCATCTCAACTTACATCAAAAACTTAAAGCAGTTAATATCTAAAATTTGATTATTTATTAACAAGTTCATTGAATTGTCAAGAAAATCTACTATAAAAACAAGTAATGGACTAAAATGAGGTTTGGAAATGCAGAAAAAAAAAAAAAAAGAATGTGTTGCAGTGAGATCACATGAAGAAATCTGCCCAAGCTAGCAGCAATTACCCATCAGCTGAAACTTAAACTTACTAAGAATTTTCATTATGATTTTCACTTCAAGTAAACAAAAGAGAAATGGGTATTGCATAAAACATGATAATATGACAATAGAAGAAAAAAAGTTACCTTTGTAGAAGGCAATGTGAGAAAGGGCATTGGAGAAACTGAGAGTCTTAAAAGCACTGAAATTTTCATGCAAAGCATAAGAAGCAGAAGAAGGGTTGATATTGTTTTTATGTGAAAGAGTTTTGTGCTTAGATTGAAGAGTGAAGCATGAAGAAGACAAGCAACAGTTAACTGCACTCGCCATTTCTTTCTTCCCTTTCCGCTTCTCTAAACAACGAAATTTGAGCTTTATGTTTTGCTTTATCCATTATCCATAGGCAAAAGAGGCCGGAGGGAAAGCTTGAGTGGATTTTTAAATTCCTATTTTACCCGTTATTCTCTCAAAACAACATGCCGTTTAGGAGCCCTTTCAATGCCTGGGAAATGAGAATCATGCTTTTATGAGCATTTAAGGTTAAATTTTTTAGTATGCAAATCAACATTCAACATTCAACATGCAAATCACATAATTCTTTTATCGTAAATTTTGACCCCAAAAGAAAATCATAATGAAAATTGTCTTCATCTTGAACTCAAAATTAGGTCATACAATCATCATCTCTTTAACGAGTTTGAAATATCGGGCAACGCCTTTTTCTGTCCTCGAAGGAGAACCTCCTTAAAAAAGAAATTTTGGGTAGTTGGAACTCTTTCACACATTTTGATATTTCTCATAGAAGAACATAAGTAAATTATCAAGGGTAAACAACAATCATTAACATTTATAATTCAGTAAAATATTATAAGTTCCTTTTTCAAGTGAAGAACCGGTATTATCTCAAAGATATAAGCCCCATAATGAATCTAATTTGCTTGCAAAAACCTAAAATCTTTCAGCTGTCTTTACTACTGGAGCTGCTTCAGTATGTTTTCTTGCCAGATATGGACCTCTCTGAACAGCTTCTTGCAACTACAAGTGTAAAAGCAAAAGGACCAAAAGTGTCATACAAGGCATGATAATTGCCATATACAAGGGGCAAACAAAATTGCCAATGCATATCAGAGTAAATCTATGGATGTTATGAAAAGGGTATAAATTACAGTCTCCAAATCACAAACTTGGTATGAATATGGGATCTATTTTCACATCACTGTGGAAATATTGTCCTGCCATTGATTAACACTACTCAAATGCAAAAGATAAAGGAGGTAGGAAGCATATCAGTTTACAAACTAACCTTCCCAGCTATTCCCGAGAGTGCAGGGTCGCTAATGAGTTTACTTGCCATGAATGCCCTGTGGATTGCCTTGCAACAATTATGTCTAGCCTCCATACCTGATAACAATAAAGATCAGAATGCATTGGAGTTTGGGATTCTTTTCAATGCTTAGAAGATTTGCCAAGGAATAGTGCAAGATCAGTTTAGGAAGTATATGGGAGAGTAGGGTTGTTCAAAAGAAAGGAGACATTTTGGTTGGACTTTCACATTCAATTTGCATAAAGATAGGAGGTAATCTTTGATGACGTTAAAAGAAACGTACCTATTTTTGTAGTTTCAGTAGCTGGATCAGTCACCATGTTTATTATCTCCTGTTTTGAGCAAATCTCCATCAAGCACCATAATCGAGCAACTAACCCTGTTATCACTCTGTACCCCTGATATCAGCAAAAGCAATACATGTTAATTTCTTGATGAACGGTCATTTCAATATATATTCTATGTATATATACACTAGTCAGATAACTAATATACATTTTTTTAGTTGCCTCACCCCAAACCCTAAAATCAAATGTTAACCACTGGGTCATTTAGTAAATATGTGCACCAATATAAAACAAGATATTAGTAGAAAAAAAAATACAGACACCTGTTCATCAGCCAAAGCTCTTATAATTCATCTTATGCAGTGAGCACAATATGTAAATAAAGGTATATTCTTATTCTTCAGTTTGTTTCACTGAAGCACACTGTTGGCCTTTTCTTTTGGTAATATAGCCATGTGAAAGCAGTAACCACTAATGGAAACTAAACTTTACTTTCAATCCTTAGATAAGGAAATGGTTAGCATTTAAAAGTTTCTTTACTTGAAACTAGAGAACTTAAAAAAAGGAATGATTCCTACTGGTAATGTAAAAATAATTTAAACAAAAAGATAGGAGCTGGAAACAATTTTGGGGGCAAAAAATTATAGTACAAGCCAAACATATTCCATTTTCCCTTATCTTCTTGGCGACTAACAAAGCATTAACAGAAATCCATGACTAAACTTTAGTTAATTTCAGCCAAATATCATGGTAAAAATACCTATTAACGAAAGATTACAACAAGGGATATGGAAAGTAAGAAAGATATATCAAAAGTGAACATAAATAAGGCCCAATATCAGTTTTGCTATCAGAAAATGCTTAAATAGGATCCCTTGAAACTAACTGGTTTCAATTAGGAAAGAAAACTGGATTTGGTAAAAAATATATAGATTAATTGTTGAGATGAAACACTCACTGCCAGACGAAATTCTGCAGCCTGTTGAAGAACTGATAAGAAAAGACCCTGCCAATCATGCAAAAAAGGTTAATAAAGCATTTTTGTGGGGAAAATATCAATGGTGCGAATGTTTTTAAGAAATACATAGCATTTTATGCATAAAATAATGATACAAAATAATGACATACCCCCAGAACCTTAGAGAAGAAGACAGGTAACTTTTTGCCTTATGCTTACTAGATAATTATTAATTGCAGTCAACGGACTGATGTAAAAAATGTCCTTGAAAATAAACAGATACCAAACTTAAGCAACCATGCAATCAAAGCACAAGAAAAAGAGATAATTTTAATTAATTGCTTACAGATGGTGTCAACTTTGAACTTCCTGATGCTACTTCATAGATCAAACGTCTAAGACTTTCTTCTGCATCACCATTTAGGATTATACTATCCTCAGGTCGGTTTTCTCCCGTGACATTTCCCAAAGCGTGTAATGCAGCCTAAATTGCAATGTAAAATCCCTCAGAAATATTAAACTGAAGATGCAACCTGTGACGTTCTTATGCAGAATATGCTCCATATAAGAACAATTCAAAAACATAGTTTGCCAGTTCAGCGATAATGCTTCAATTAAAAGTTGCATCCCATCAGCCCAATGAAAACCACTATTTCCTGTGAACTCCTAGAACATTTTAAACATTAGGGTCCAACACATCTCAAGGTCCAAGAAGAAGCAACAGGTTATAGCTAAAAGGACCACAGGAATAGCTGAAAGACAAACAAAGTTAATGAAAAAGAAACCAAGGGAAAGGTAATAGCTAAATTTACACAGCTAACACAACTAAACTAAATAAATAAATAATCCTTATTCACATAGATGACCTCTAATTTGAACCTCCAAGCTCTTAGAGAAAGGGTCATGCATGCTGATGGGCGAATTAAAATAGATAGTTTAGGATAGCTCAGGGAAAATTGGAAGGTTATCTATGAAAAATTCTTTTACCGGTTTGGCAACCTCTACATTGAGTCAGGTCTTTTTAAGAATCCACCAAAATATCACAAATCAAGATAACATAGAATCATGTGCATAGTTGTATTAATGCCATGTTTTTTTGTTCTTAATCAACTAATTCAAAGAGCCTTCAGAATGTGTAATCTGTTATGTGCACGGAAGCATATCAAGCAAAATGAAAATAAGAAATTAAAATGGACATTAAAATAGAAAAAGAATTTGATATGATTACCAACTGTTTACCACGCCCTTGCCGATCAAAAGCAGCATGAACAATATGCCTTGCAGCAGGTGGAAAATTTGACAATAGCAACACGGCCCCTTGGATTGCTAAAAGCAGAAAATAGGAGGGAAAAAAAAAAGACATAAACAGTAATCATTTCAGGGTTATTAAACAAAATGGAGAAGTACTCCAACTTCAACTTTTTATTGGAAAAGCATATAAGTAACACAAGCACTCTTTTTCCGATAAAAACCAAGTGCAATGCTCATTAAAACAGTTCTTATAGACATAATAAAGTGTTTTAAGCATCCAACTTAAAAACCATTGATGATAGATGTAGAAGCCCAACCATAATATATGACAACAATGTACCCTAAACCAAACAGATGTTGATATAACATGGAGCATATACTTTGGAGAAGGCGTCAATGTAAATGACTAGTAATTGAAATGAACCATTTTTACTAAAACCATATAGAGCAATTAAATAATTACATGGAAACTAGGTCCAACATAAAGCAAACTGAACAAGTTCTTAAGACCATGATAAGAATAGGAATAAATTCAAATTGAACTAACTACAATATGTTAAGACTATCAATGGAGCAAGTTAGTTCATCTTATGGTAGTAATTTGCAATTGCACAACCTAATCATGTTACTTACATGATCCGATTTGTCCAAGAGCGTCAAGTGCAGATTCACATTCATCAGTATCTTGACTGTCCAACAGCCCAACTCTGACATCAATGGCTGAAATCACACCTTTGGCACCTGAATATAGAAGAAAAAAAAATCTAAAAAATCACATTTCTAGGTGTAAAATATCCAGGTCAATAAGTAAGGTTTATATCCTTCATAATAGTAGGCAAATTTAATTATCAACACGATTTTTCTTTTTTGACTTGGTTATAACTTTTTCTTGCACCAGCATTGGTGAAACAGAGAAACCTACAGGTGGGTGCAAGATGCTAAGACAATATTGCCTACAGCACCCAGAACAAATAGGACTAAATATATTATGCATATCCAATGAGAAGAAGGGAAATCAGTACAAAAGATAACAACAATAATTGCATGTTCAATATTTTACAAGAATTAAGAATGCTTAATTCTAGGTGAAATTAAGCAAGAGGCTGTCTCTTTAAAGAATGAATTTCAGAAAGCCTTACTTTGTTCATCAACAAACAGGTATATGTTCTCCTTGGATAAAAGCCTTCCACTTATCATCATTGCTCTTGATCTTAGAATTGATTCCATTGATGTGTTGCTATAAAATAAATAAAGGGGGTTTACGGAGAAAACAAGGAAAAACAGGTTGTAAAGAAAGCAACAATTGCTTTTGTAAAAGGAAAACAAAAAGAAAAGAAACACCAATCAAGAAATGTAATTAATCCTCAAATAATTACCTGATTATAGAATGAAGCAATTGAAGGGTGGTCCTTGACAAGAACTCAGTACCATGCTGGATTTGAGTCAACTGCATATCTGTCTGGTCAACATTCCATATACAAATGCACATGGCAAATGATGTGTGTTTTAAGGGGAGGGGGGGTAAAAGGCTAACCTCATACAAGAGCTCCAAAGCATTTAGGGTTGCAAGGTTATCATTTGAATTCCTGATCTCTGCCTCCAATACACTGAGCAGATTTGAATTGTATATTACTGATGCAATGGAGCTCGAAACAGAAAATAATTTCACTATCAATGATAAAACCCGCACACGTCCCTGAAAGAAGGTTTACAAGGTTAGTGGGGAATACAACTGTAAGCAAATTTCCAGAGAGCATATATGATTATACACCATAAAATATGTCAAATTTTAGATTTGGTGTTTAGCAGTGGGCTTGACTTCTGACCACTGCAAACATCTAAAAATGATAAAAATAGACATTGACAAAGATTATCTTTCTCAAACTAAATAAAAGACCAGCCATTTTTGCAATGCCAATACAGTCAAAAGAGCTACAATGTCAAGTACAGGAATTGACTAAGCAGCTGATAGGCTTTCAATAATATGCCTATAAATATAAGAAAAAGATTTTGAAACAACACGGAAGACCAATGAGACCAATTATGAAAAAAGTCAAACTGCACACAAGAACAAAATAATCATACCGGTGATGAATCATACCAGTGATGAACATCGTGATGCTAAGTTCCCAAGGTGCGTAACTTCATTGATATTAGATGGGAAGATGATGCCCTCCATTAAGTTTCACCAAAATTGAAATGTCATTTTAGTAAACTGAAACTATAGTAATTCCACGCATTAAAAAGATTAAACCTCACAGAGCAAGTAATTGAAGGTAGAGTCCTAACCATGCCTTCAGAAAACTGAACTAAGTTCTTGATTGCATCAATTGCAGCAGTTGCAACTTGTTCATTGCTACAGGCGAGTAACTTGACATCATTTTTTGCAGAAAGATAATCTCAAACAACAAAATGATGTTAAAAGCAATAATCTATTAGACATACAAGCACCTAGAAATTGTTAGAAAAAATAATAGAAACACTAAGTGATATCTAGCATGTTCTTCCACCGCCCAATCTCCCTATCTTCATTCTTCCACTTCCCTCTCTCAACTATAGCAAATCATTTCAACATATACCAGATTTTTGTGGTCAAATCTAGAACAGTTTCAATTTTTTTCTAACAAATCTAGAACAGTTTTATATCCTCCACATTACAGGTGCAAAAGAATGTACAAAGCACATTTCCTTCCTGATCAAGGCATACAGTGATAGGCTCTTACCCATAAATCAGGCAGTCCAGTAAGAGTGGATATATATCATAGTCAATTATCAGCTGTGTGGCAGATATAGATTTGTCATCAAAGTTCTTTAAAAAGGATGAAACCTGGATGAAGTTGTCAACATTCAGAAAGTGAACAAGTTAGTTTACAATGGTAGATTAATTTTTTCTTAAAACATGTAAATAAGCATATTCAGTCGTGCTTTGCACATAGAATCCACTGGCCATATAACGTGGTAAATCTTACACCTGCCAATTCCTTCCTATTCCAAAAGGAAAAATCTTATAAGAGATTTGAAAATAATCAGTTATGCAACAAATACTTAGAATTTTGTAGACATTTAAACTTAGCACAAGTACAAGAAGGAAATATTTTAAGTAAGAATTCAACTTAATAAGTGCAAAAATAATAAAAGAAAACAATGAAAAATATTTTGAGGAGCTGAACACATACCGTCTTGCATGCTAAACCACGAACTATTTGAGAATCTGCCTTGAGGCCAACTTGAACAAAAGGCTGAAGAAACAGCGAAGACATCTTCAATCTCATTGTACATTCACAAGCATAGGTAATGAAGACATTATATAGTCTTAACTGTTAAAATGCCGCTTTAGACTAACTTATTCAAGATCTAAAAATATGTCAAAAACTGTGTAAAATTTGAAGCATTTCAAAAACAAAACATAACTACTAAGAAATAATCGCTAAAAACTCAAGCCCACCTTCAAAACATCAGAATGTTTCCTAATGCTAATACAATCTGAAAATTTTCACTTCAACAAGGCATCCAACAATTTACATTACATGCGAATCAAATCAAGAGCTTTTCACAAGTGACAATCAAGCAATTAATTTACTAAAGACCAAATGCATACCATGTAATGTGGAATCAGTGAGGCACCATACTTAGTCTTGAATAACCTTTCCAAACAAGCAACCAGAGTATTTTCCAGGCCAGGCACATCAGCTTTGGTCTGCAAAGCACTGCAAAAGAGTTTGTAAAAGTTAAAGCCCATTACTTTAAGTTAAAACTTAAAAACCCATTAAGCTAAAACCAATTTCCACGATGAAAAGTGATTCCTTTCCTAATGAAAACAACCAACAAATTTATAATTCCATTACATATATAAACATTTATCATATTGCCAAACTTGAAATACCCATTAAATCAATTTCCGTAAAACACCCAAATTAATAAAAAAGGAATCATAAAAGAAATTTAAGTGAGGTAAAAAGGAACAAAAAAGAGTCAAATCGGGGTTACCTGATGATTACAGGGAGGGGAAAACGGTCAAGAAAATCTTTTGTAGCGGCGTCATCTTGAACACCAGGGTGATGGGCGAAATCAGAAGCTGATTTGAGTAACTGAGATGGATCGTCGAGTGAGAATTCTTCTTCCATAGCGGTTCACTGCTTTCGATTCTTCGACAGTGAAGTGTCGTTGACAGAGACCAAAAAAAAAAAAGGATTTTGAGAGCAAAAGTGTGGAGAGCCGCGTGGCAGAAAGTTAGCAATGACGCGTCGCGTTCCCAAAACGCCAACGCAGTGAGCCCAAAGCCAAGCGGCTGAAAAAGTGGGAATCTGAATTAGCGGTCGCTTCTTTCCCTTTTCTTCTTAAATAGTTAACACCAATTGTTGTATTTATAAATTTTTTTCTCCATTTTATTTGTATTTTATAATTACAAGGGAAATTAAAGACAATAAGATGACACATATTTTTATAAAATATGTGAAAAATAACTGAAAATTAATATAATAAAACTATATTATCAGTCTTTTAATTTTGTTCATAAAATTTAAAATGGTTCAACTTCTTAATTTTCATACTTTTTTTGTTTTGTAATGATTAATTGTTACATATGGTTCAATTCCTTTCCTCCTATATAGTTTTGTTTACCAAAACTTATGGCATTGAGCCTACAATAATTTATATTACATCTCACCTATCTATAATCATCACTTGGACCAATACCAACTAGCATTGTTACATCTGAATTAGTGATTGTATGAATGTATATTCACGTAAATTGTATCACATATTCATGATTTATGTGCAATATTTTATTTTCATTTTTAATCCATAATTTTTTTAAAAATGGTTCTAAATTCATTTATTCTATCAATAATTATTTAAAAATGACAGAATTTGTCTACTCTACGTTACATGAACGTTAGTAAAAATGTTCACATGACAAAAAAAGGATTACGTTTAATTTTTTAAGTTAAAAATCATGCAATGTGAGTGTTCAATTGACATAGATATGATATATTTCATTGAATTTTTTAAATTATTTAACGAAATGGATGGATTTTAGATACTTTTAAAAAATCAATAGATCCAAATTTAATTTTAAAGATCAAGGATCAAAATAAAATATTATATAACCATAAATGACTGGTGACAATGTAAACATACATACATATAAACATATATTTTCATTGAAGTGTAAGGTTTTTAAAAAATAATAATATTTTATGGCAAGCTCAATATCACAATTCTTGACTGATGGGTTAGGATCATGCAAACAATATGTTAAAGCATAACAAGAAAAACATGAAAAGCAAACACTAGAACTTACATGCCTCAACGACGAACCACTCAAGCATATTATCTTTGTGTTCTTCGAGCTGCCTATCACACCTTATATATTAGTATATATATACTGTATGCCAATTATTTATTTACACTATCTTTTAACTATCAAACAATAGCTGAATATATGTATATCGTAACAATTTTTTTTTCACCACATATATATATATATTTAAGATGTTGGAGGATAATTAAATATAATATCTAAAGGCTTTAACATTTTATTTGGAAGCAAATTTAAGCAAAATAAGGCTTTTGTTATGGTAAAAGATTTTTCAAGGCCTGGCTTGGTTGGAAAGCTTGTGGAAGAGTTTGGGTTTTTGGTTTACAACTATTGGTATGTTAGTGAATTATCAGATTTTATTTGAAGGAGATCATCTTTTCGTAAAGTAGGGTTTTCATGAAAATTACTGTTAGAAGAAGAAACATAAATGGGAGATATTTATTTAAAGAAAACAATGGATTTCGGAGGAGAGTGATTGGTATTGTCATTTAGGTTTGCACTTTATGACAAGATTTTTGGTTAAAAGTTAGAAGCAAAGGATTTTTTAATATTTATTAAGAATCATTTGAGTTCCAAAAATTTTTTTGGTCAAAGATAGATTTTATTAATACTTAATAAAAAAAAGAATTGAATTTTAAAGTTAAAAAACTGACCTAACTCACATAACATCTCAAGATTATAAACATTTTAAAGAAAATATCATCAAACATAAATATTATTACAATCAAACAGCAAACACTTCATTACTATCCATCGCATTGACTTCAAAAATATATTTATTTCTTTAGTAACATTTTGTACGATGCTTTTAAATCAGGCGTCTTCAACTACTTTCATGTCACAAATATAAAATTATACATCAAAAATATCTTCAATGATTTGTAATTTTTGTAAATTTATATCGTTTGTTTCAAATTTATGTATCTTAGGCAACTCTAAGATAGCTTGTTTGGCAGCAAACTATTGAGTTTCTTCAATTAAACATTCTATAACAATGCTTGAGACTGAGGTTGTACTGAGGTGATTTGTAATGCATGAGACTGAGGTGATTGTAGTGAGTTGTTTTGGTTTTAATTCGGAGGTAGTCTAGTAATGTAATGCTAGACTTGTATTGATTGCAATCTTTAAGTCAATTTCAATTATTAATAAATTCTGATTTAGTAAAAAAAATTGAACATTTACATAAAAGGTATTGGGATTTTCGAGAAAAAATACTTGAAAAATAATTAAGAATAAATATGGGTTCATTTGAAAAGAGTAATAAATATGGATTATTCTACAAAATAATGATAAAAATAAATGAAATATAAATAGTTAACTAATTTTGAGATGAGAATATGGTCTACTAGTGAAATCCAATCGTTGGAATTTATTTAATGGGTTAATATTGGCTTTATATATAAAAGATCTAAAGAGAATCGAATAATTAATTTTAATTTTAATTAATTGATTTATATAATTAACTTAAGTGATAATAATAAAATTCAAATTCAAATTTTAATACATATAATTTTTTTATTTGAGATTATTTTTATCTCCATAAATGATATCCCTTTTAATTAAGGGTATTATATTAGATAGTAATATCTTTTCTCCTAAAATTAATAAAGTAAATAGTGAGTACAACATTTAATATAAAAATATTTTTATAAAAAATAATTCAATTAATTTTTGAAAAAAGTCGTTATGTACGAAAAATCTAATTTTTGAAAAATAAGACATGATTAGCCCTTTTTTATGATGATTAGGCCTTTAATTTTTTATTACAATATTAATTATCATAATGTATAAATCTGTAAATTTATAACTACATCTGACTTAAAGAGTCACTATCAATTTTTTATTAAGGTGTGATTGACCACTTAATTTATTCATATCTACGAAACTAAAATTAGATTTAAAAATACGATTATGTGTGAAAAAGTTATAATACCCTTATATTGTCCACTCAAAAGATGATACTAATTTCATGTCATCCAAAGCCTAAAAACTTACCAAATGATTTAATATAAAAATTATCATTAAATTACTCCAATATGTTGATAATAATTCAAAAACATTCCCTTATTTCGTGAGTATTCAAGGAGATTATTTATCACGCTTTGAAGAAGCTCTGTCGTCGAATTAATTTAATTTTTTAAAAAAGTTTTGTTTGTGATAATTGAAATTTTTGTGAGAATCTTGATATTGAAAATCTTTTTTAAATTCTTCAATATATTGGTAAAATTTAGAAATGATTTCTCACCTAAAAATTTATATAAAGATTGCTCTTTGCAACACTCTTAGTAATTTTATCATTGGAGATTCAAAATCTAATTTTATGAAAAAAAATTTTTTTTCAGAAATATCTTTCAATATGTTAATAAGATTTTAAGAAAATTATTTGTTTTCTAAAAATTTATTTTTATATTTAAAAATAATAAGAATTTTCAATATGTTTGTAAAACCTTATTTTGAAAACCAAGCTACCTTCCAATACATTGGTAAGGCTTTATTGAAAATTATTTTTTTGTTGAAATTTATTTTTTATAAAAAATTAATAATTTCTCTAATAAATTGGTAAATTCTTATTTTAAAAATTAAAATGTCTTCTAATATGTTTGTAAGGTTTTTTGTTTTATTAAAACAATTTATTAAAAATTTAAATCTTCCAATATATTGGTAAGATTCTTTTTATTTAAACATTTATTTTAAAAAATTTGAACCATCTAATATATTGGTAAGATTATTTTTTAAAAAAATGTTTTTGTCCCTCTTTTTTCCCTTTTAAAAAAATATTTACAAATAAATAAATGCATAAATAGTAAAATAAATGAAATAAACAAATAACTAAATAAATAAATAAATAATTATGATAAAATACAAAGATAACTAAAACTTAAAAAAAAGACAAGTAAAAAGTAAATACCAAATATTGAGCCACAATTGATTTCAAAACATATGGGCCTTTGTAATTGTATTTGCCCACTTTAATTTGCTAGTTATTGAAATTAGTTATAATTTGGGCTTCTTATTGGATTGGATTCTCAAATTGGGTCAATCCCTTTTTACTATTCTTGTTTATTCACCCCCTTGTCTCTTTTCTTTTTTTAAAAAAAATACTTTATGGGTGAAACCCACGAAAATTTTGCTACCAAAATTTTTTGATAAATATCTCTCTTTTGTATTTCTTCTCAACTCATTTATCTAACATAGAACTCCTAAAAGAAAATCCTAATTATCTAAACCCAAAACACCATAAAAAATATTATAAAAAAACTCCTAATTTTTTTACTTTTTTTTTTTACTCTTTCTCCTTTGATTTTTTTTATTGATTCTTGATTTCTAATTGATCCTAATAAGGTCTTTTTATAAGCCTCTAATTACAATAGAAAAAGGAGTTTTATTGGTTTAAATCTCCTAATCAACTTCAACCTTAGATTTTTAATCCAAATCCACCTCTTAAACAAATTTCCTTTTACAGTCTTTTTTTATTTAGAACATTTTTAATTCAACAACCCAATTAAAATTAAATCCTCTTCAACTTTCAACAAAATAATTTCTCTTCTTTTTTTTTTTAATTATAATAACTCTAAACTAAATACAATACAAAAAATAAATAAATAAAATTCAAAGCCAAATTTTAAAATATAAATTAAACCCAGACTAAATGGGATATCTACAGCTACCCTTCTTTGCATATTTTTTTGTGAAACAAAAATTGTACTAAAATATAGACACCCATTATGTCCAAATTTGATACAAAGAAAAAATCTAGAGCTTCTCATCCACAATAAAGATTCGAAATTCGCAATTGAAATTCAAGGATTCCCAACTTGAATATCAAAGGTTCGTAATTAAATTCAAAGATTCTCAATTTGAATTTAAAGACTTGCAAAACATTCAAGGTTCTCTACAAATTCAAAGATTTGCAATTAAATTCAAAATTTCACAAACAAATCAAAGATTC